TCGATATAAACCTTCCCTGTTAGTATTCAAGTGGTTGTATATATGTACGTACAGTTCTTAGTCACAGAGACGGGGGCATTCGGTGGACTTGGGCGCCGCGAATGGAATAGTTGTGCCAGGGATCGCTGATGGTAGTTTCTCTTTTGCGTCATACCCGAGGTTTTGGGATTGTTTCTGGATAGACATCACGTTGGGCTTTCCTCCAAATTTAAGCAGACATGCCGTGATTTAACTGGAATATTGTTCACAACGGCGTAAAACGCAACTATCCTTTTTCCCACGTAAAGGTGAAACAAGTTAATAATATACTAGTTAATATATATAATATAATATTGAAATACTCTACAACTGATCTCACTCACACCAGGAGTTTGTGTGTTAGTTATTTAACGCCGCACTCAACAATATTCCAGCTATATAACGGCGGTCTGTAAATAATCAAGTTTGGACCACATAATGCAATGTCTGACATCTGGGGCTTGACAAATATCGGCGTGACAAATCCTCTTCCCTCACTAGCAAGGGGTAATCGCATTGAAAGAGCGTTGCACATTCGTAACTACTCGTGTAGCAGGATGGCGACTTGTACCCCTCTCGTGGCCATGTTTACGATTGGGCCTTGTCTAAGCGCAAAATTCAGGGGAGATGAAAATAGTGTGGTACTATTTCCAAGGAAAGATAACCATGAATTTCCAAACACGGCTACTCCTGGAATATCCCATATCCCGTGGGCAAAACAGCTACACAGCCATTCCCTTCGTAAAGATGTTTCAGTGTTGAAACTTGCTGATCGTTTAGCTCAAAATTCTGTTTAAATTGTGCTTTGCATAGTTTCAAAGTTCGATGCCGCCATTTTCATGCTTCGAAATGTGTTTTACTACGCGCGATTTGATTGGTTGGCCACGATTCTTGGCTATAATGGCATACTATACAGGTACGAGTATTCTTGTACGTCACGGATAGAGGCGAGTAGTTACGAATGGAGCATTGCAGTTAGAAGATAAGTTACCTATTCTGTCACTTCATTTTAAGTCAAATACTTGTTATTAGTGTCAGTATAAGTACAGTAGCTTTGTAGTAAAGTTTCAAGTGGGCATGTTGTAGCTCACTGGCTTCAATTCTCAGTACACAGCGAAGAAAGACTAACTTATATCGCTAAAAACTTCTTTCACATATTCGTTTAATTTTTAGAAGGGAAATATTCCTTTTGTTAAAAGGTGTTTGCAAGAGTAATAGTGATATTTTTATAACTAAAAAATTTTTGTTAGGGTGTATTTGAGGTGTGTGAAAATATGACATATCGCCGATCTGCCATTGAAAAATACTACAGGGCGTTGTTTGAGTGTTTCTAGTTAGTGTTCAAAACATCTTTCACATACACCTCCAATTTTTATGAGGGAATATACCATCAGGTGAAAGGTGTTTGCAAGTAATAGTGATAGTTTTATAATCTAAAAAATTGTTAGTGTGTATTTGAGGTGTGTAAAAATATGACATATCGCCGATCTGCCATTGAAATACTACAGGGCGTTGTTTTGAGTGTTTCTAGTTAGTGTTCAAAACATCTTTCACATACACCTCCAATTTTTATGAGGGAATATACCCATCAGGTGAAAGGTGTTTGCAAGTAATAGTAATAGTTTTATAATTTACAAAAAATGTTAGTGTGTATTTGAGGTGTGTGAAAATGCATGACATATCGCCGATCTGCCATTGAAATACTACAGGGCGTTGTTTGAGTGTTTTAGTTTTGTTCTAAAACATCTTCACATACACCTTTAATTTTTATGAGGGGAATATACCATCAGGTGAAAGTTTTTTGCAAGTAATAGTGATAGTTTTTGTTTGTTTTTTTGTTAGTGTGTATTTGAGGTGTGTGAAAAATATGACATATCGCCGATCTGTTCTGATACGCCATTGGTGCTTGTGATGCTTGAGTGTTATAGTTCTAAAACTTCTTTCTTTCTTGTTGATCTTAGTATTTGACAAAACTGGAAAGGTGTTTGCAAGGCTTTGTGATAGTTCTAAACTTTCTGTTCTTGAGGGGTCTGTGACAGTGTCAGTTAACATTCTGTCAATGCCAATGTCATTCCACACATGCAATAAGATATCTGAATTAGTTACTAATGTAAAAAAATGTCTCAAAGTAGATTTTTTATAAAAAGGACAGCTGATGTTAACATGTGTTCTACCGATAGTTTTGCGTTCTTTAACATGTTTGGGGAGGGATGGCCGTGGTGTATCATTTATTCTTTCATTCATTCACATATGTTCTTTTTCTTTTGTTCCTTTTCTTAATTTCTTTCATTCATTCACATAAAATTCTTGCTCTTAATTCATTCATTCATTGTAAAATTCCGACCTATACAATACACTGGCTGAAGTACTGTTAAACGCAGCCGAAGTTGCGCTGGGACCGAACCAAGTCACTGTATTGCGTTGGAGCATGACGAGGCACACGTTAATTAGTACAAATGGTAAAGAAAGCAAGCGAGTGACCTATCCCTGTTGTAGAGTATCCCTGATTGCAGTTATGACTCGACGAGTCCGCTTAATGTTGAAGTAAAGCCCGAAGTAATGCAAGCTCAGATGTTTGTCACTTTAATGTAAGCGTAGCGCACGCTTATTGTAAACTTAGTTTATACTGCAAACACAATCATCGTATAGTTTGACATTTAGACACATGATAAAAGTATCTTATTCAGAAATATCTACAAAATAAACACTAGAATCCAAATGGATACCCGGATAATACTATATGTCAGAGATGAGGCAATCTAGACTTGCCAAAGCGTTCCAGAGCTGGATTCATTTTCTTAACATATCCTCAAGGGTATAGAAGCCTGATTACTGTATTGTATTGTGTTATTGTGTCCTAATAGTGTCTTAATGGTTTCTTAATAGTGTCTTAAAGGTGTCCTAATAGTGTCTTAATGGTGTCCTAATAGTGTCCTAATGGTGTCTTAATATTGTCAGGGATCGGGTGGTCAGGCTCACTGACTTGGTTGACACATGTCATAGTATCCCGATTGCACAGATTGATGCTCATGATGTTGATCACAGGGGGGGCGGATACAGTGCATTTTTTCACACTCTTGTGAAAGGGGTCTGCACATTTCGTTTTCACGAGAGTTTCAATGATCATTTAATAAACTTTCAGGACAAAGGTGGGGGTGCGCACCCCTGCATCCCCCCTCTGGATCCGCCTATAGATCACTGGATGATCTGGACAGGTTCGATTATTTACAAACCGCCGCCACATACCTGGAATATTGCTGAGTGTGACGCTAAATAAAAAAACAAACAAAACAAACAAATTGAATAATGCCCTCATCCTTTATCTCCGGACACGCACTTAAGACTGTTCAACATTTTGATCCTAGCATTCATTTTTGCATCTTTTACGACATCCATTAGAACACTTTTTGGATTTTGCATTTTTTCAGTACTTCAAGTAACTCAGTACATTTGTGTTTATTTGTTTGTTGTTTAACGTCCAAGTCATTATTGTCTGTGACTGCTCTTAGTAGGACTATTTTCATCTAAAACACTCGTGACACTAAAGCTGGGATTACCTCCAATGGGACCCTCAATCACCGCGACAGACTTAAACAACGCCTCAATACTGTCAGTGAAAGAGACCTATTGTAATGCGTTTCATTGTATGCCTTGTCTAACCTCGACACTAACACAACTCGTCAGGGTGTTCACTGACAAGGGAAGTATGGGTTTGCGTGAAAATGGTGATTATATTCCGTCTATTGTTGCTCCTCGGAGGTAACTATTGGAGTCGAACCTGGTATCGCCGCGCTGCTATTGTGTTACCGTAGCTTCAACATACGGTTAATTTCATGGTCCGTTTAACTCTTTTAATGTCAGTTGTACCATGTCGACTTCAATCCCGTGTATGGAGTGCGTGTGTTAGGGGTGTTAAACACGACACTTGTCCATGATAGAGTTTGTATTTCAACTCTGTTGAGTTGTAAAGTGCTGCTTATTATGGTGTCTCAAGTGCTGTTTGGTCTGGCGTAGGGAGGGTTAATGCGTTGATTTGGTCTCGACCGTCACAAGTGATTTTTTCTTCTTATTGGGAAGAAGTAAGTCTTTTACCATACACTTGTCGTGAGTCAGTTCTAACGGACATTACCAAACAACGCCATTACAGTGCGATAAGAATGTTTAGAAAACGACTGAAAACAAGACGTAAGGTTAGTTTGTATTTTTATGTATTTTTCAAGATTTAATCATGAATCATTAGCTCCCGTCACACGCTCAAACCATTCTACTTGTCGGACAAGCATTTGTGTGGAGCTTGACTGAGGCAGTGTGATGTCGGGTGCCATCGGGTGTATGAGTATGTGTGTTGGGGGTCTGCATTATGGAGAAAGACGAATGTATGTGTACGCTTGTCAGCCCCAGACTTATATTGTTTTTGAAACACTGAGATACCATGCCGCAGTGAAGCATGAATACCCCACTCCAGACACATTATACTCACTCGAGCCCACCAGTCCTTGTTGTATCATTTGCCGAGCCCTCAGGGACCAACTACCATATCCACGTCCCGCCTGACGCGGTCGGGGATCGAACCCGCATCCTTCCGTCCGGTCAGACGCTCTAACCATCCACCCACGGAGGCGGTCTGTCTGCACTCATCCATATTGTTGCCCGGTTTTAGCCAATCATCCACCTGCCCGGTCACTCACTCATCCACCCGCCCGGTCACTCACTCATCCACCCGTCCGGTCACTCACTCATCCACCCGTCCGGTCACTCAGTCATCCACCTGCCCGGTCACTCAGTCATCCACCTGCCCGGTCACTCACTCATCCACCCGTCCGGTCACTCACTCATCCACCTGCCCGGTCAATCAATCAGTCATCCACCCGCCCGGTCACTCAGTCATCCACCCGTTCGGTCACTCCTCACTCACTCACCGACTCACTCAATCAATCAATCATCATTCATCAATCAATCAATCAATCAATCTTTATTTACAGTTGGCAGAGAATGGCCGTCACCGAAGCACCGTGTTGCCGCCCCTTGACGCCGACCTGTCCTTTTCTCGCCCCTCCCGGAAACACATCACATTTCTCCAGGGCTTCTCTGACGATGTGAGTAGTATGCTGGTACCCATACAAGTAATCAGACCAGCCTGTGCTATTCTTACACGTCACATAACGGCATATCAATGCTTTACTTATAGGGATTACGATTTTCTTCGTCCACACATCTCTTTTCTTGATGATGTCAGAAATGCTCGATGTGGCGTCGAGGAAATTAACGGTAATTCATATAAACATCTACATGTTGCTCAGAATTCAGGATAAAGTATCGTCGACTGTTGAATTAAATGAGGATAAATGATTGAATGTCCATCCCGCAGCCAATAATTTATATTTACGTCAAATTATTTGTTCAAACCTCCAGAAATCGGTCGCTAAACACTGTCTTTTCATAGTCTCCAAGCTTTTCACTGTACCGTTTGTAAATTTGATGGTTTTTATATATTTACTTTACAGGGCTCCAAGTGTAAAAGGATCAGCTTTGAAATTGACAAGAAAATTGTCACCCATCTACGGGTAAGATATAGTGTTTCTCCTAACACAAACAACTTGTTCCTTCCTGTATTTAGGCTGGATAAATAAAGATGTGTTCCTCTGACACATTTAAACAAAATAATATGAGGGTAGATTTAGATCTATGTTTTTGAAAACATACTTATGTGTGAGGAATAGTGTGTTTTTTACCAGAAATAATAGTGGTGTTCCGATTAATTGAAATAATCGAAGATTGGTCGAAGTGACCAAAACGACCAAGCAGTCGATCACATTTTCTCATAATCGAACACAAACGATTTTGGAACTGCTGTTTTAGTGTTTGAAACACTTGACGATGGAACATATCTTCTAAGTTGTCAGGGCCTGAAAACTTGTTTAATTCTTAGAAAACTCACTTCACTAACTGAAAAGTCATGACTGAATATTTCTTGAAGACTCCAGAAAATTTATGTTCATGATATATTACTCATCACTTTAAAGTAGCAAGTTGCATCATGTTATACATATCTACAATAACAACCTTGGTAGGAAAATCTGAAAAATGACGCTAACCAATTTTTTCGATGATTGTTCGTTGGTAATGAAGCAATCATCAATTGTGAGATTTCAACCAATTCCCAACACTAAGAAATAGTACAGTTTCAGTTGTTAGACATAGATATCAGCGTCTTCTTCGTATGGAAGTGTAGGAGAAAATTTCGGAGAATATTTTCATGTTGTTTGTGGTCCGTGGAGGTTCTGATTCTGATTTGTCTTCAGCAACCGAAACTTGTCGTAACAGGCGACAGCCGGGTATTGGGTGGTCAGACTCGCTGACTTGGTTGATACATGTCATCGTATCCCAAGTGCGAAGATCCTCATGGTGGCAACCAGTGGATGACGTTATGTTATTGGAATATTGCGGAGAGCGGCATTAAACAAAAAAATCAATAACAAATATTGTTTGTTCAATCAGTCAAACATATTGTTTGTTCGGTCAATCAAACATAGCGTTTGTTTGTTCCTCAGCGGAAGCTGACCCGTCGCATCGAGAGGCGAATGGGGGAAATGTTTGATGATGAAGTCTCGGATGATGAAGCCTCACCAACCGACACCAGACGTCGTAGTGGGAGCAAGAAACAGGTACATACTTTACCGTAATGTTTGTCCAAAAACACCCAAATAAAAACGAAACAGCAAAAAGATTTGCATGGTCTCAGATTACTTTGTACACCTCTCATCTCCACATGGTAATGTTAATGTTCCCAGAATGAATGTGACATCATATTGTGTTGAATGAATATAAGCTTTTGGAGAAATACTGCAGATTTGAGTGAGTGAGTGAGTTTTCATGTGTCAAAATGTTATTAAATTCATTAGGGCGGAGGGGTAGCCTAGTGGTTAAAGCGTTGGCTCGTCACGCCGAAGACCCAAGTCTGAATCCCCACATGGGTACATTGTGTGAAGCTCATTTCTGGTGTCCCCCGCCGTGATATTGCTGGAATATTGCTAAAAGCGGCGTAAAACCAAACTCACTCACTATTAAATTATTATGTAATCAGTGGAACAACATTTGACAGTAGTATAACAAAATATGATCTGTCATTACAGTCGGCTGAAAATCGGAAAGGTCTGTTCAACAGCTACTCCGAGGTTGGAGAGAAGTTGAGGAAATCTGGCAACAGAACTCGTCTTCCGTTGAATGGGCATGGACATGGCTCTCCACAAAAAGTGCTTGATCCTCTGTTAAACGGACACGCGACGGCTACTGACCCTAGCGACCATGCTGGCAGGTCCAGCCGCCAGAGTGATGGGTCCAGGAAGTTCAGCTCCACAACCCCACTGCCGGACATAGGTCAGAGCGATGATGGAGCCCGTCCATTCACATCATCCTCATCCAAGATGAAGAAAGTGTCTTTACAGGATCCACAGCTTGAAAGTCAGGCAGACAAAGAAGGTCAAGCTTCAGAGGGAGATGCTGAACAACAAACCGGAAGTGACGCAGACGAGGACGCAGGAGGTGATATCAGCTTCCAGGCAAATGATAACCAGTCCCATCCAGACTCCAGTGGTTCATCGGCCAGAGACCCGGGATACTGTTCGACTGAGCTCTGTTCAGCGACGCACGCAGATACTTCAAGGATATGTTCATCGACATTGTCCTCCTGACAATAAGATCATGAAGCTTTACCTCTGCTCGGGGTTTGCTGGTTAGTGCATAGTGATTACAAAACACACACACCGAAAACACACACCACCACACACACACACACACACACACACACAACACAGAGAGAGAGAGAGAGAGAGAGAGAGAGAGAGAGACAGAGAGAGAGAGACACACACACACACAGAGAGAGAGAGACAGGAGACACACACACACACACACAACAAACAAAAGTTATATGTCAGCTTGATTTGAGAGGAAAGTCCGACGTGGCGCAGGGCAGAGACATTTTCAGCGTTTCGTGAAACCCACGAAAACGGGTACCGTGCTGACGAATCTGGAAACATAATGGAAGCGAACCTTGATTCGATCACAGGTTTCTAGTATGGCCAAAGGACGCAACTCTGCACAGCAGGTTAAGGCGCTTTAAGACGACTTATGCATCTAACCCATGCTTGTTGTAAGAGGCGACTAACGGGATCGGGTAGTCAGTCACGCTGGCTTGGTTGACACATGTCATCGGTTCCCAATTGCGCAGATCGATGCTCATGCTGTTTGGTCCAGACTCGATTATTACAGACCGCCGCCATATAGCTGGAATATTGCTGAGTGCGGCCTAAAACTAAACTCACTCACTTATGCATCTGTCCCCAGAAGAGACTGATTGTAAGATAGGTATTCGAATTATGAATCCGTATTTTAAAACTTATTCTGATATTTTTTGTACGAGACGATGAGACGTTTCGATTTCCGTGTTTCAGACAGCGAAGTGGAGCGGACGGTTTTGATGGAACAAGTTTGGCCCGAGCTGAGAGAGTTTTGCAAAAAGCACGGGCACGAGCTGCACGTGCTTGACCTACATTGGGGCCTCAAGGACGCCACGGCAGACGACCATCAGATTCCCCCGAGTCATTTCTTACTACATTGAAGACTGCAAAGACAATGCGATGGGACTAAACTTCATGGTAGGGATGAGTGGGTGTGTCTGGGAGTGAGTTTGGTTTGAAAAAGTATTTCAGGTATGTCAAGGCCATATGACAGGAGGGGCAGTGGGGTAGCCTAGTGGTTAAAGCGTTCGTTCGTCACGCCGAAAACCAGGGTTCGATTCTCCACATGGACACAATGTGTGCAGCCCATTTCTGGTGTCACCCGCCGTATGTTGCTGGAATATTGCTAAAAGCGGCGTGAAACCCAACTCACTCACTCATAGGACAGGGAAGTCGGAAATGATACAGATCTCAGACGTTTACCATTTAGGTAAAATCCACGAGCACGGACATGGTGCTGACATGTCGACTGATGGAGAAGATTGTTGATTGTAGACGTAGTAAATTGTTGTGAAAGTCATTCGTCAGCGAGATGAAGTAGCTAAAAGACAGAACCAGTCAGGGAATACGTTATTTAGATAAGAGTGAGTTGGATTTTACGACGCTTTCAGCAATGTCACGTCCTGGGTCCCGTTCCTCAAAGCGATCGTAGCGCTACGACAGTCGTAAGTCTATGTTAAAGTATGGGAGTTACGACTGTCTTAGCGCTACGATCGCTTTGAGGAACGGGGCCCTGGACACCAGGAACGGCCTTCGCACATTGTACCCATGTGGGGAAACGAACTCTTGCTTTTGGCATGATGAGCGAACGCTTTAACCACTAGGCTACCCACTGCTACTTTTGAACAAAATATGCATACGCCATATATATTTTATACCTAGGATTTATAATTATGATGTATTTGAAACGTTTTATCCAGACACTAGGGTGGTGGGTGGAGAATTGAGTTTTCATAGTTCTTTTCGTTCAAACTATCACTGGATTCTGCTGTATTTGTAGAATATTTGAACTAGAACTGTGCTATCTTCAGGATGATAATGTTAATATATTATATCGCAAGAAGTTTTGCAATGTCGGCAAGAATGACAGACTCATATACATGTATACATGTTTACTATGGCAGATATTCCTGGGCGAGAAGTATGGACAGTGCCTCTTGCCATCAGAGATTCCTGCTGATGAATTCGAGGCAATACTTGAAGCTGCTGTAGAATACAAGAACCGTAAAGTGCTCTCTATCAGAGCCAAGATGGCGGAGGTGGAAGCTGCACGTGCTGAACGAGAGAGCCAGCGTCAGAGCGAGGCTGCGGCCAAATCGAGTGGGGCGTCTGTCAAGAGCCAAGACACAATTGTGAGCAGAGATACTAATGACAGAAGCGAGAGTGTGAAGAAAATGGATGATGATGATGAAGATGCTTTGGGCGATTTGACATTCGAGAGGAAAGCGAGTGTGATCCGAGCAGAGGGCCAGGTCATTAAGGCGTTGAGGGAAGAGGAGGAGGAGCTTCAGGATGTGGATAGTCTCATGCAGTGGTACAAACTGGATGAAAACGCAAAGCCACCCGTGTACCGCTTACAGAAGATTAGGTGGGTGGCATAAGCATTGGTGTAATCGTCAATCATAATTGTATTTTTGTGGGGGCGGTGGGGTAGCCTAGTGGTTAAAGCGTTGGCTCGTTACGCCGAAGACCCGGGTTCGAATCCCCACATGGGTACAATGTGTGAAGCCCATTTCTGGTGTCCCCCGCCGTGATGTTGCTGGAATATTGCTAAAAGCGGCGTAAAAGCTAAGTCAGTCAGTCAGTATTTTTGTGTTTTGCGTATTGCCTAACGCCCCAGTCAGCAAATGTTAAGCTATATGAAGGCGGTCTGTAAATAATCGAGTATGGACTAGGCAATTCTGTGATTGACATCTCGAGCATCTATCTACGCAATTGGGATACGATAACGTGTCAACCAAGTCAGCAGGCCACACCATCAACGTTAGGCGCCTCTTACATGCATGGGTTGCTGAAGATCGATTCGGATCCGGATCTTCACTGGTCGATTCACTTCACTGGACATTTCCTTGTTTTGTGTCGTATTTTGGTTTGTTTGTTGTGACACGTAAAACTGCAGTGAAACGTTGTTGTGACACGTAAAACTGCAGTGAAACGTTGTGACACGTAAAACTGCAGTGGAACGTTGTTGTGACACGTAAAACTGCAGTGAAACGTTGTTGTGACACGTAAAACTGCGTTGTGACACGTAAAACTGCAAGTAAAACTGAAACGTTGTTGTGACACGTAAAACTGCAGTGAAACGTTGTTGTGACACGTAAAACTGCAGTGAAACGTTGTTGTGACACGTAAAACTGCAGTGAAACGTTGTTGTGACACGTAAAACTGCAGTGAAACGTTGTTGTGACACGTAAAACTGCAGCGAAACGATTGTGAACGTGAAACGTTGTTGTGACACGTAAAACTGCAGCGAAACGTTGTTGTGACACGTAAAACTGCAGCGAAACGTTGTTGTGACACGTAAAACTGCAGCGAAACGTTGTTTGACACGTAAAACTGCAGCGATGTGACACGTAAAACTGCGTAAAGACTGCAGTGAAACGTTGTTGTGACACGTAAAACTGCGTTGTGACACGTAAAACTGCAAGCGAAACGTTGTTGTGACACGTAAAACTGCAGCGAAACGTTGTTGTGACACGTAAAACTGCAGCGAAACGTTGTTGTGACACGTAAAACTGCAGCGAAACGCAGTGTTGTTGTGACACGTAAAACTGCAGCGAAACGTTGTTTTGACACGTAAAACTGCAGCGAAACGTTGTTGTGACACGTAAAACTGCAGCGAAACGTTGTTGTGACACGTAAAACTGCGTTGTGACACGTAAAACTGCAGTGAAACGTTGTTGTGACACGTAAAACTGCAGTGAAACGTTGTTGTGACACGTAAAACTGCAGTGAAACGTTGTTGTGACACGTAAAACTGCAGTGAAACGTTGTTGTGACACGTAAAACTGCAGTGAAACGTTGTGACACGTAAAACTGCAGTGAAACGTTGTTGTGACACGTAAAACTGCAGTGAAACGTTGTTGTGACACGTAAAACTGCAGTGAAACGTTGCTGTGACGCGTAAAACTGCAGTGAAACGTTGTTTTGACACGTAAAACTGCAGTGAAACGTGTTCGTATGATAATTCCTATCTGTATTTACCAAATACGGCTAAATATTGAAACTATTAATTAAGTGGTATGTGTAATCCGACCAAAAATCAAATTCTTAGGAAGGGATAGAATGAGATACTAGAACCAGTTTACAGACATCCTGACTGTTGCAATGCTTATGCATGTCAAAATCCAATATCAGGGGTGAGTAACCAAGGTGGGGGTGTAGCCTAGTGGTTAAAGCGGGTGGTCCATTTCTGCTGTTTCCCGCATGATAATGCTGAAATATTGTTAAAACCGTTGGAAAACGCGACCCATTAATATAATGCAAGTATGCTAGTTTCTGGTAGTGTCATCAATATATCCGAGCTCGAGGTTGTCTCGAAACCTTACCGTAGCTTTCCTGTCATATTAAGGCAACTCGTAGTCATACAATACTGAATTCCCAAAACGTCAGACCAAACAATCACTCATATGCCAACTTGTTGACGAGGCCGTGGCTAGCCCAGTGTTTAAAGGTTTGCTCGTCCCGCCGAAACCCGGATTCGATTTCAAACATGTTTACAATGTGTGAAAACCATATCTGTGGTCCCCAGCGGTGATATTGCTGGAATATTGCTAAAAGCGGCGTAAAACTATACTCACTCACCTGCTGAAATGGTCCCCATATTCGTGTTTCAGCTCCGTGTACAAGGACATCACGAAGACAGACGGAACAAGGCGACAGGCTGCTAGGAGCGGCTGGATCACCACCTCCATCAAGCTGAGCAAGGTCCTGCAGCAGTTCTCTCAGAGCGTTGTGTCCGAGGAGGCCAGGGAGAAGTACTTCACCTCATGTGCGTGGAATATTTGCTCTTTTTGTTTATTCAGTAATACGTAGCTTGAGCGCCTGTAAATAAACCAGTGATTGATGTTATGAACAACGACCCATGTCGTGTTATACGATGACACGGAAACAACCATGCCACTGAACCAGATCCCCAAAGCAGCGCTACTTTTTATTATTATTTTAGGATATTTATATAGCGCACGTATCCACACACTAGTGCATGCTCAAGGCGCTGTTATTTTTCCCCTCGATCATTGGATGTCAATCTCAACGGCTCATCGTATTATCAATCTCAACTCCCTGGGGAGTATACAACTCTTGCTGACACAAGGCGCACCGAGTTATTGTGGCTTTCTCATCCTAACGAGGTTACTTCAGCTAAGCTGTTTATTTCTAACCCAAACCTTTCTTCGATATTACTTATTGTTGTTCACAAACACTATGATTTATTCTAAGCCTTCAAAGGGAAGTAGTATATTGTCAACTCCAACTCTGTTCTGATTATTAGGCAAAATGTAATAACCTTTTGCATTGTTACGAAAAAAGGTCAATAATATCTTCAATTTTCAAAATCTTGCACAATAAGGCAAATCGGAACGCCAAGGCCCGAGAATAATTTGCCACGCCGAAAGAAATACCATTGGATGTAAAAGGCAATGTAGTGGTGAAAATTGTAGAAATGGATCTCTGAAGATCCTTGGTGACACCAGGTGTTCCCGGAAAGGGAGGCTATCCTGTCCTATCGTTAACAGCCCACATCCGTGCTTATTTGTAAGTGAACATTGCCCTTTACTCGGGATTTTCCTTTGATTCAGTGCTTGAGCAAGAGCTGGAACACATCCTCGCCGACTTTGACAACACCCCCTTACACACAGTGTGCTACAAGCGGACCCTCTTGGGGCTGCAGAACCATCTCTCCGACATCAGAGTCGGGGAATACATCGACGTTAGCCCCAAGAACAATGACGCCATCGACACCAAGGTCAGAAGCAAGATGCTCGACATCAGAGAGGAGTTCGTCGGCAAGAGGGTAGGTTCATGCTGCAGGAGTGAGTGAGTGAGTGAGTTAGTGAGTGAGTGAGTGAGTGAGTTAGTGAGTGAGTGAGTGGGGTTTAATGCCGCTTTTGACAGAATTTCAGTTAAGTGAGTGATACACTGGGGCTGCCGAAAGCCTTAGGTGATACAGATCTTAAACGTTTATGGGTGGGTGGGACTCTCAAACATAGAGACACAAAGTCGAATCTGAGGTGAAAAGCTCATAACATCATGATATTGGTATATATAGGTACGGACACGTTATACGAACTCTATAAAGTATAACCTCATCATAGCTCCTATACTATGGAATCCTGGAAGGGACATTGTCGCGTTGTCGCCCTCTCAAATACAAGCAAAATGAGGCAACATTAACCAAAGCGCGACATTGTCACCCGATGTAAGATTTGTGTAAAACAGCCTAAAATTTTTCTATTCTTCCAAAGGGCGACACGCGACACGCGACAATTTTAGGGCGACAACGCGACATTTTTATGAAATGTCGCGTTGTCGCATTGTCGCGCTTTGTTAAAATATTGAGTATAGTATGTATTATAACATATGACTAAAACGCGACACGCGACAATGCGACAAAATATATGTCGCATTGTCGCGTTGTCGCCCTTTTCTATTACCGGTGCGCATGTGTAGAAAGTCAATTAGTCTACGCATGCGCAGAAAATGTTATACTCTATTTCAGACTTCACTGGTCTTTTGTTACCTCCAATGGTTTTCAAAATGAAGTAGTGCTCGTAACATTGCGCCCATATCAAGCTCACAGGTTGTGAAAACATATCAATCGGCATAAACATCAGGTTGTGGGTCACTATGTTCGAGGGGCGGTGAAATATAGTGGTTAAAATCGTCACGCCACATCGGCATAAACATCCCCGCCGTGATGTTGCTGAAGTCCTAAAACCGAATGAGTCACTATGTTCGACAATGTGGCTCCTGACAGAGTTTTTTTGGTACAGTCCTGTCCGACGCTGATGAAAACATCTGCCTCTGTTCAGCCAGCAGTGGATGGATACCAGGTAGAATCAGATGGTAATATCACTTAACCATCCAGCACCTCAAAGACAGTTTGAACGTGATATTCTTCTTGGGAAAACGCCATACAAATGGACTGTTATAATTATGATATTAGAAACGATGGAAATCGCTTGGCAGAGTTGCGTACCCTTGGAGTGGTACGCGACACGCGACAATGCGACAACGCGGCATTTCATCAAAATGTCGCGTTGTCGCGATGTCACGTGTTGCGTTTTGGTTTATTTTGCCTCATTTTACTTGTTTTTGAGAGGGCGACAATGCGACAACGCGACAATGTCCCTTCTCGGATTCCATACTATACCCATGTTTACACCACTGCAGGGTATTTTCAGGTTCATGAATAAAGAATAGAATTTATGAACCACATATGAAAAATGGCATTGAAATCCCAATAAATGAATGGCGAATTCTTCTGAGCACAGGTGAACGAAGGCAGCATCTATTCCTTCGAGCTGAACTGGATAGCGGGAGGAATTACCACTACCCACAACAGAGAACATATCAATTACCTGGACCGTGTTGTGAAGGTGACCCATGACATGGTCAAGCGTCAGCTGTCCACTCTGTTTGAAGAAGAGGACCACGCGGACCAAGCTCTGAGGAACCTGTTTGAAGAAGTCTCGCAACATGTCATGACGTGTCACAAGAGGCAAGGAATCTATACCTCCATCCGATTATGTAGAATTCTTATCAACTTAGTTTTATGACGTGATTGTTTGATGCAATATAAATTTATATTCCATTTTCTAAACTAGCTGTTACTCTTCTATTTAACTGAATAAAAGCGACATAGCCCTTACATGGACATTTATGCTAAAGGCTAATCCATTGTGCGACTATGACCATGTCAGGTACATGTGTATATGAATTATATCCCGCCTAACGGGGTACCTGTCACAGACACACTCATTGGTTAAGTTGACTGACTGACTGAGTTTGGTTTTACGCCGCTTTTAGCAATATTCGAGCAATATCACGGCGGGGGACAACAGAAATGGGCTTCACGCATTGTACCCATGTGGGGATTCGAACCCGGGTCTTCGGCGTGACGAGCCAACCACTAGAATTCCACCGCCCCTGGTTAAGTTGAGAAACCATGGGGACATACTAAATAGGTCAAAATTATTTGGTCACTAATACGAGGAAATGTCTTACATACGTCCACCGTAAAATATTTTGAAAACTGTATGAACGCAATACTGGCACATTTATGGCTAACAAGTTATTTTATTTTGTGTGGGTAACATTTAAGTTTAAGTTTAAGTTGTTATCCATAGACTTGTCAGTATTGTACTTCCCAAACAAAGAACTGTTTTAACGCCTTAAACGCTGTAACCTTGAGGAAACAAAGTTTGAACAGGAATCGTGGCCAGATCAAATTTTGTTGTGCCACGATGATACAGTGAGTGACTGTTTTAAGGTACACCAGGCATTGATAGGTATTTGCGGCGAATGACATTGCAGTGAAATGAGCTTAATTTCATTTGATGTCATCGATTGTGATATTGCAGAGTTCGAAAGTTCCATGGTCGGAAAGACATACTCCAGTTGATAAAGTCCTACGTGCGATCAGAAACAAATACACCCCTGGTGATTTTCGGGAAAACAGGATCTGGCAAGTCGGCCATTTTGGCGAAAGCAGCAAAAGATGTTCATAAGTGGATGAAGGAGTGAGTCTTCGTTTAACAATAACCTAAATATAAGGTTGTTAGTGAGTTTGGTTTAACGCCGCTTTGACCAAGTTTCCAGTCATATCACGGCGTATTGATGTTGGGGATAAGCCAGGGATGGGTACATAGAGAATACTACACGAGGTCTCATTACATACGAATTATACGAAACGAGTGTCCTTCCTATGGTATCTGACCGAGCGAAAGCGAGGTCAGATATATAGGAAGGTCACAGTTCTCGTATAATTCGTATGTAATGAGACCGAATCAATGTGGTATTTTATTTATTACCCACGTCTTACATGCATTAAATTGACAAAATAGCGTATTTTTGTTATGTTTTTGGTTTCAAACCGAAACCGGTTTCATAAAGACGTTGCTGAAGAGTTTTGTACTGTAGTACAATATTTGCATGACGTCACACTGTAATGACGTCACAGCCTTAGTAACCGACGTCACGATGCATGTCAGTTGTCATCGCCTCGTACAGCCTCCTACAGTAAACTACTCCGTGGCTTCCCGTTTCTTGGTTTGCAGTTGCTTCTTTCGGCTAACATCACTGGTGGAAACATTGCGTTTATGTTTTTCGATGGATATAATGTCTCAGTTCGACTCACAATTAAACAGCGACGCGGCAACGTTCGCAATGTTTACATTCCCACAATGCATTTAAGTTGTAGAATGAATGAATTCACGTGTTTGTTAAGAATGAAAAAATAGTTACGTCAGAATCTGACCTAATTGAGAGGTCATCGGTTATCCAATCAAATCGTTATAATCTCAGGTCAAGTCGTTACGACACAGGTCAACGCGATACGACACTCGTGTGACGTACGAGATTAGTATGCAACTACCCATACGTTGACCACGTGGGTAATAACATGTTTTATTAAATGCATTTAAATGCATTTAAATGCATGTAAGACGTGGGTAATAAATAAAATACCACACTCGGTCTCATTACATACGAATTATACGAAACTCGTGACCTTCATATGTTATCTGACCTCGCTTTCGCTCGGTCAGATACCATAGGAAGGACACTCGTTTCGTATAATTCGTATGTAATGAGACCTCGTGTAGTATTCTCTATAAATGCGTCAAGCACTGATATGACGCGACAAAAGGATCACAATGGGTAACCGCTATTAGCGGATCCTGATACAAATAAGGGACATAACTGGCACATCTAGTGATGCACTTTGGTGAAACCTTCGAACACAGGTAGGGTGCTGTCAAACCTGGAAGCACAATGGGCTCACGTTAATTGGTTTCTGGCATCCCCAAGGGACACAACTCTGCACTCGAATTGCGGTGACTTAGACAGTTTTAAATATAAGTGCAGTTATATGCATAAAATAATCTTCAATAGCTTCTGGGCTTCTCCATACTGATGTCGTGTCGTGTCGTGTCGTGTCGTGTCATAATTAATTGCACTGTCTTAGTAAAATAACCTCTTCCAAATATCGAATACTACGCAATACTAGATATAATGATTGAAATGTTCAGCTGGATATACAGTTCAGATCTGATAAATTTTGTTCCAGGTTTGACGCCCGGGTGTTGGTGAGGTCCGTGGGAGCAACACGACGGTCAACCAATGTCCGAACCCTACTCAGAGACATGTGTCTACAGCTGTGTCACATCACCGGGGCCAACTACAAGGATGTGCCCACGGTAGGAAAATAGTCATTTCCATTCATACCTATAGAGAGGACGCACCTGTCAAACGCAGGCATCACGTGCATGTGTATTTCCTTTTGTATGTAAGTCTATTTGCGATTACACTTTCTGACTAAAGTACAAATTTTAGTACTTTTTGGTGTGGTTAAGTCCCATGCGGGATTCGAACCCAGACCGTAATTTCAGTCAGTTGGGAAACATAGGAAACGCATAAGACATGTGCTGTGGTTCTCAGATGTCACTTGTCTCTGCAATAGCTGCCTTCAGAATGAGGTGAGATGGACTCCTTACGTCGAGATACAAAGCCACTGACGAAAACGATCAAGATGATAGAATTAGTTGACGTTCTCCCTCATTATTATACCCTAATATATACGAGTTTGTTCCAGGTTATTTTACTCTGTAACAAGACAATTAATAGTCACTGTATGTGTTGATTTGACGTTGTGTTTGCAGGGATGGAAATAACCCATTGCCCGATGTCCGAGTCCACTGTTTTTTTCTGTCGGGCAAGCAAATTTGTATATCACACTGTACCGGTGTCCAGTTGACTTTCCAATGTTAATTATGTTGTTTTTTTTTAAAAAGAAGAAAAACGGTCGGTATAGTGGACAAATTTTCCGGGCAAGTGAGTTAACATGTGCCACTGTACCGGAGTACACTATCAATTTTAAAGTTATTTCCACCCCTGGTTTGGCCAGTCAAACACCACTTAATCAGCTGTATTATGTTTCAGGAGTACAAGGGTTTAGTGAACGACTTTGGTTACAAAATCAGCCAAATAACAGCAGAGAAACCTCTTGTAATCTTCCTTGATGCCGTTGACAGACTTTTAGGTAGAGTAATTGTTGTTTCTTAACTATAACATACTGATCTGAAGAAACAAATTGGCCTCATGTATGTTCCAAATTGTTTAACGAGTTCAGTTGAACATATATGGCAATTTTTGAAAATAAGCTATAATGTATTCAGTATATGTTCTGCATCTTGGATTAATACGACTTTCAATGTTCCCAGAAGTGTTGCCATAAGTACTGTTCATAATCATACTACTATGTATCGTCTTGTATATAAAGTCATTATGTACCCTACAGATGAACATGATGGGAGGAAGATGTCCTGGCTGCCAAAGGAGTTGCCTAGCAACGTCCATGTCATCATCTCAACTCTTCCAGATGACAAGTTTGAGTGTTTCCAGGCTCTCAAGAAATCCTTGAACGGCAAAGAGGACTGTTTGCTCGAGATCGGTGACCTACCGACAGGCGACGCTATCGCTATCCTGGAATACTGGTTGAATGAAGGCAACAGGAACCTCACACAGCATCAGATGGATGTCGTCATGGATGCCTTCGAAAAAGCCCCAACTCCACTGTTTCTCAAAATGGCTTACAAAGAATCTCAGGCATGGACTTCGTATATGCTTTCCGAGATGGTTAAAATACCGGAAACTGTAAAGAAGATTGCTACAATCAAGTTCGGGAGACTTGAGCGAGATCACGGTGAAGCTTTGGTGAAAAGGGCTCTGGGATACATCACGGCTGCCAGGAATGGAATTACCAGCAATGAGATGGAGGATGTTCTGTCTTTGGATGATGCCGTCATGGACGAAGTTTCTGGGCAGTTCAGTTTGCCAAGGAGAAGAGTTCCACCTCTGGTTTGGGCGAGACTAAAGATGGACCTGTCTGAATATGTGATGGAATGCCTTGGAGACAACATGAAAACACTATGTTGGTCCCACGCACAGTTCTGTGATGCAGCTGATGACAGGTACCTACAGCAGAGGGACAAAGCACCTTCCTACCACAAAGCATTTGCTGAGTACTTCATGGGAAAATGGGTCAGTAAACCCAAACCATATTCTGGTAATGATCGAGGTGTGCTCAGATTTGTATCAGATCAGCCATTGTTTTATGAACCAGAAGAATCATTACATGATGGGTCAGATAGGGTGTACAACCTGCGGAAAATAAACGAACTTCCATTCCACCTTGTCAGATCTCAACAGATGGAATTGCTCAAAAACGAAACCTTGTGCAATTTTGAATGGGTGTTAGCCAAACTATGTGGAACCTCTCTCCGTGCCGTGCTTGAAGAATACTCAAGTGTTTTGCTTCTGGAACCAAATGATGCTGAACTCAAGATTCTCTCGGACACGTTACACCTTTCAGGTGTTGCTCTGCAGAAAGAACCCCGTCAGCTTGCCTCACAGATGATTGGTCGTCTTAATGGGATCATTGCCAGAGATTTACCAAAACGGCAGCAGATCGAAAAAGATACCCATACCTACACACATTTGTTGCTCAAGCTCAGTCTTCCACTCTCCCAAGTCTCATTCCATCGGTTGACTGCTTAACAGAACCAGGAGGCATCCTGTTTGATCTTCTATCGGGCCATACTGACCCCATCACAGCATTAACTGTAACATCAGATGGTATGCGAGCCTTGACAACCTCTGAGGACTGCACCATGAAATTGTGGGACATTCGTACTGGGAGAGTTGTGAAAACATTAGAAGGAATGAGTCCAAATGTTTCAACAATTAAGACAGGAATGAACAACGCCCTTGTGATTACAACAGAAGGGACTGTAATCAAAATCTGGAGTCTCCACACAGGGGTTTGCGTTCATGTCCTGGATGAATTTATAGACCCTGCGAACATCACGGTGGCAAGTGATAGTCGTGTACTTGTTGCTCTCTTTGATGGGTCTAACATGTTCCGATCCTTTGACTTACAATCGTTTGCACAGATATGTGAGAAGGAAATCCCTGATGATGGAATTCACAAAGACCGATCTCTGGTTGTGGCTGATACGTGTGTTGGAGATCAAGTGCTCCATGCGTTCAGATCGTCCAACAGAGCCACTGTACAAAACGCAAAGTCAGGCAAGATTTACCACAACTTGAAATGCTTTGAGAAATCGTCCTCAGTGGTTTCTCTTGGGTTTGCCAGAGACTATTATATCCTGGCATGTAGGCAACAGTATATGGAACTTCATGAGATTCACCAACTTGAGATTTTTGATTTGAAGAAAGGGAACTACCTGCGCAGTGTTCGTGGATGTGTCCATGACAATGTCAGAGATATATACATCAATATGATGGGCAGCCATGCCATTGCCATCTGTGCTTCCGAGAACAACAACATGTCTGACATTGCCCTCTGGAATCTGGAGACTGAGGACCACAAGCATCTGGCACGACATGCTGGTGTGTCTGCATTTGGTGCATGTCTTGACTTCAGGTTTTGTCTCACAGCAGCAAAGGGCGATAAGACACTGAGAATCTGGAACCTAACCAGCAAGATCAATCAACCTGCTCCGAAATTGAAGAAGAGTCTGGGTGTGGTAGAGATTGTTCCCATGCAAGACAATCCTCGATATGTCGTTGCCAGGACTATGAACAATGGGCCTATTAGTGTTTGGAACATAGCCAAGGCGAAGTGTTTGCAAACAGCTGTTAGAATAGAGAGAGGTCTTTCAGAAACATCGGATATTGTGATTGTAAGGAACTCTTTCTTGGTTATTCTCACAGACAGGGGATTTTCTAATGTCAGCGATGATGCTAAACCAGTCTTCCAAACAGTGCTGAGGTACAATCTCAAAACTAAACGCTACGACAAGAAGCTAACCGGCTGCTACATTGTTCCTGCTCCCACGCATGAATACATGCTACTGGATGAAAACCATCTTATGGGTCCCTCAGACAGCAGGACTCACTTTATGGTATGGAGCCTGCAGACAGGTCATGTTGTGTACAGGATCAAAACCAACTTTAGAGAACTAGAAAGATTAAAGCTGATGGATGGAATGCAGATGGTAGATGTCAAAAGAGTGAATAGGGGAACAACAGCCAAGATGAGTCCTTGGGACAGGCGTGCAGAGACCGACTCTGCGAAACAGAGACGCCATGAGGGTGAGCTTGAGGAAGAACGGCAGAGGCAAGATGATCTGAAGAAGGAGAAAGAGAACGCCATTGAACAGTTCATTGTAAGTGGAGACGAGAAGATCATTATTGCTTCATTCTTTGCTCACCACTTGTGTGTCTTTGATATTCCGAAACAGGCACACACACAGACTCTCGAGAATGAGAACTCGATGATGTTCCTTCATGTATCGTCGTTGACCTTTGATGGCAGCCATCTTGTCCACGCAAACTACGATGAGGAGAGCAAGATCAGTTATGTAACTCTGTGGGACTGTGCAAGCGGGCAGGTGAAGAGAAGACTGAAACGTGAAACAAACGTATGTGCACTTGGTATCACAGACGATGCTGAGAGAGTGGTGATAGGCAAAGGCCCAGATGAACTCCACGTCTGGGATCCTATGAAGTCCAATTCACTCCGCAAAATCAAAGGTTACTCTGGTTTGAAATTTGGTGTTGGGAGCAAGATCTTCACTTGTGGAGATGGGAAGAGAGCTATTGTGTTTGCAGGAGACATCTCAGTGTGGGACATCGAGAAGGCTACTGTCATGGCAGTTTTCACGCCGGATACCCGTATCATGTGTTGCAATGTGGCTCTGGGTGGAGAGCTGATTACCTTTGGTCTGTATGAGAAGAGTGATGTGATCATCCTGAAACTGATGTCGAGGGACCACCAACCTCAGATTGATGAAGTGGAAGGGGAAGATATGTTTGGGGAGAAACCAGACTCGTCAGACGATGACGATGAAGAGGAAAATGAAGATTGAATCGAACGATGCAGTGATTTCAGTCGATAACTCTTCCGTACTTTAGGATGGGTGATCTTTGGACATAGAAATGTTGGATAAAAACTGTGATACAGACTATTTAAAATGTATGTTATGTAGACATCATAACTGTGATATGTGAGTAATTTGTGTGTGTGTTGAAGAATAATAGTACTGATTCAAGATATGAACATAGGTCTCAATGAAAAAACAGAACACAAGTTATAAGCCAGGAATATGGTAAATATTGCCGGATTCACGTCCGTCCAGTATATGTAATTTAAGGTACACAGGTAACAGACACAGCAATACATTCATCAGAACAAAATGAGCTGAAATGTATTAAACCTGACCCAACTGGGAGTCGGGTGTTTTCTCATATTGGTTTTTGACAGACGTTCTATGCAGTTATATGGAAATCCTTACAATAATCAACCTGTGGGTCGTCACATTGTGCACACACTTTGTGACTATAGATCGCACTTGGAAATTTCGATCATGTAAGATTACCCTCTTCCGGAATTAATTTTACTTCTTTGTTTGTCCAAAACCAATATTTTTTGTCGTATTTAACATATCACGAGCCAGTAGTGATGTCAATGAATCAGGGTGGTTTTAACAGCAACTCACAACAAAAAACTGCATGAGGATCATAGAATCAGTAGCAGAGAAACAACATGTACATGATCCTGTGAAGTGTCCCTCACATATCAAAATGGGTGTACAATATGATCCTAGCATCACACATACCCGCGATAAAAATGATTGAACATGACCCAGCATTGGATACAAATATCCTTCTACAATGGTTGAAGGGCACAGGTTGGCCAATTTGCTAAGGCGCGGCAATTCGCTAAGGCGCGGCAATTCGCTCTCCAGAGTTACGTCCCTTGGACACGCCAGAAACCTGTGATGATGGGCTCCAATACCGCTACGCCCAGACTATGTTTCCAGTTTAAGCACAGACTATGTTTCTATTTTGGACAGCATCATACCCGCTGGTTTCACCGCAGTGTTGAATGTCTGAGATGAAGGAGACGCAATGCATGGACAACTTCTTCATTTGTTTGTAGCACGGACGTTTTCGTACAGTTTTTTTTATCTATGTCAAGCAACAGAGCCACAATTTATGGATATGAATTACTTCCAATTATACCGAGAGTCACATTTACAGTGTTACGTTGTTACCGACAAATAACCACTATGAGCCTCTGGGACATATAGAACTATGAAACAATGTGCACTTCGGGATTTTATCCCACATCTAGCTGACACGCTGTGATATAAGTGGATATATTATTTGAGACCATCGGATGCAATCCGATATACATGTATATCCATGAAATGAAAAAAATACAGACTGAATGTCGACATGATCCGTCCAGGTTAAAACTAAACCTCTCAATATAGAAGGGTAATGGATTCTTCGAAATACTGTTATGTGTGATATGAATAGCAATAGTGTTGCCATGATATATGATGTGAGATTCGTCCACTGTCATCATGTACCTTCCTTACAGTATTACGACTGAAGCTATATTACATTTTGTAGAAGTTTTGTACAATGTGTGTGCCTTTCATTAAAGAAACTTCCTGTATATTTGTAATAAAATTCACCTCGGCTGTTGCTGTTGATGGATGTACAAGATCACAGACAGAAAAAATAAAAGGGAAGGTAGACTAACGCATAGTCTCTGAACACATACTCAACAGAAAAGTTAATGACCCCCCAATATTCAACATTTCAGCATTATATGGATCATGATATGGACTCTTAAATACTTTAATATTGAAAATTGGAGTGGTCCTTAACTATTTTTGTTGAGTATGTGTAATTTTGATAGTAACAAATATCCCATTTAAATTGAAAAGGAGCCCCAGTGTAATGGAGATTCAGAACCTGAGGAAATATAGACTTGCTTCATTTAGGGCTTTATCATTGCAGGGAGGGTAGGCAGTTGGGACAATAATGTCGTTCAGGGACTGTGAGACAGACAAATGGGACGGTTGCTCCCCATCCTGAGCAGTGAGAGGGTGACTAAGTAAATATAATTCTAAGCCGATGTTTCTTTTTCAGCAATATCTCGGTGGGGACACCAGAAATGGGCTTCACATATTGTACCCATGCCTGGAATCGAACCCATATCATCGGCTATGACGAGCGAACGTATTAACCACTAGGCTACCCCACATGTTTAAAGTATACTTGGCGTGATCAATATGTCTGATTGTGGCGGCTTTTGAAGTCTTTTCCAAATAGTTTTGAAGGACCGACAATGTCCCAACGTGACATATTTTGACCTTGCATACGCAGGCTTATACCCGTGAAGATCTGAGTTAGAATTGATCTTCAGCAACCCATGCTTGTCGTAAGAGGCGACTAACGGGATCGGGTGGTCAGGCTCGCTGACTTGGTTGACACATGTCATCGTATCCCAATTATGTAAATCGATGCTCATGCTTTTGATCACTGGATTGTCTGGTCCAGTCTCGATTATTTACAGACCGCCGCCATATAGCTATACCTATAGAATATTGTTGAGTGCGCCGTAAAACTAAACTCACTCACTCGAGTATCAGTGGCCAATTAAATAGTATTCTTGCTGTAATTCCTTTTTACAAAATCCCCAAGCTGAAGCAAGCAGTGAAAAGAATATACTGTCTGTGATCACGATCACTGATCACATCGGAGCATCCACTCAGCGTATATCCTCAAGCATCTCACCAGGATATATGTGTACGATGAGTCCGGTTGATACTGAAACCAACCAGTCACCTTCTTTTCCGTGATCTAATATGTAAGGCCTACTCTTTGACCAAAACATACGTGTCAGAAAAAGTGTCTGTACACCACCGCCCCTCAATCCATATCTCCCTGCCATACCCTCCTCCTCCCTATCTTCCCATGATATAATTTATTTATTTTTTTTATAAATCTTATTTTTCATGAAACCAAAGTCTTCCATCATATACGGCGGTCATTACATGATGACATATACAAATACATGAAGATAATCAGATATCTAACATACCAGGATGTAACATAGTTAGACCAGTGAAATATCAGCCTGTATAGGGTGTTGTATGTGGTGCCACACCCAACATATCATGTTTTATATAGCGCAACATGCAGCATACAGTGTTGTATATAGCGTCACATGAGACACAGCATATTGTATATGGGGTCACATCCAACATATGCTGTATATTGCGCAACATCCAACATAAGTTGTATAAAGTGTCATAATCCGAAATATCGTATTGTATATAACATATCAAACGACCTATCATGTTGTATATAGCACCATATCCGACATATCATAGGGCCACATCTGATATTTCCATATCATAAAGTATATAGGCTTTATAGCATTACATGATATAAATTGGTTTAAGCCCCTAGTCATATAGATGACATGTATATCAAAGATAAGTAAGTAAGTTCATACTATCCAATTATAGTTAATATTCATATTTACTTCATACTACACACAAAACTATATTCACTCGATTTCCTAAAACGAAAAATTATCACTCTAAACACGTAACAGTCAAATGACACAGAGATTATTAATCGAGTGTGTTTCCGTGCATTGACGTAATTTGCATAGTTATCAGATTTGGATACCTATCAGATGGCTTTATTGCACCGATAACACTATCCATTAGATGATAATTGAATTTATTTACAGGTAACCATTAATTACAGATGACATAATGACATAATACATTTATTATATATTCATGGAAACGAATAAGGGAACACATGAAAGTACAAGTGTTCCTTTATTCTTTTTAAGGTTTCTTCACAAGCTTTGTATTGCACTGTGGGTGAAAGTCTGGAAATACATAAAGGACACTTGTACTTTCAGGTGTTCCCTTATTCGTTTCTATGAGTATAACATAACATCATCCTTAAACGGTTACAGCAATGTGATGATGCAAAATCTAAGACCGGACTTAATAGAAAGGAGAGCACTTTGTAGGGAATCGACATTTTAACCTGGAATCTTGAAAATTCATATTGCTATTATTATAAATGCTATAGGACGTGATTGTTCATAACAGTTAATAGTTACTAATTGTGCACAGGTTAAGCAAAAATATGAAAGCACGAGTAGAGGAATAACGTTATGACTTTGTACTGCGAACCCTAGCCCCTTTCATTTACAGCATATCCAGGGTCGGTGGGGTAGCCTAGTGGTTAAAGCGATCGCTCGTCACGCCGAAGACCTGGGTTCGATTCCCCACATGGGTACAATGTGTGAAGCCCATTTCTGGTGTCCCCCCGCCGTGGTATTGCTGGAATATTGCTCAAAGCGGCCTAAAACCATACTCACTATCTTTCAGTATTTCCGTGTAATTTTAAAATTATGGACGATATTGACTTTCATTTTGAAAGGATGTATATCATTGTTGAGTATAATTTCGAATGCGATTTTCCCCATGGTATTGTCAGTGAACAAATGTCAACATAAAAATTGTCTCTGTCCATGTCCATGATTGCAAAGAGACATAGTTAAAACGAAACAAACTTTCAGGTGATATATTATGATTTTATGAGGGCTTCCTTCTCTGACCGCGGTCCATGTGCATGGCATTAGATGGTAACGTAACGGCCACTAGTGAAAGTTCCCACTCTGTGATAACTCCATATCTGGGATGTCTGCACAGTCCTAACGGGAAGAAACACCCCGTTGTCTTGACTATTGTAAGAGATCCACGACAGGCATGGAGACTTCAGGGTTACCTTATACAAAGGCTCAACTGAGGGTTACACACTAACTGACTGACTGAGTTTGGTTTTACGCCGCTTTTAGCAATATTCCAGCAACATCACGGCGGGGGACACCAGAAATGGGCTTCACACATTGTACCCATGGGGGGATTCGAACCCGGGTCTTCGGCGTGACGAGCCAACGCTTTAACCATTAGGCTACCCCACAGCCCCTACACACTAACATGGGGGGTTATACCATACACAAAGGCTGACTTGCCGGTAACATCGTATACAAGGGGCTCACTTCACGGTAACCTCAGGTGCAAGGTTGCTTGGTTGGTTGTTGTTTAACGCAACACTTAGCAGTATTCCAGCTGCCCGATGCAAGGGCATCCCAATGACATATATATTTCACACAGAAGCTTTGAGCACCTCTTTGCAATATACACGAGCGCCATTGTCAGTAGTGCAGAAAGCTTTCATAAAATCTAAAATCGAGTTTTTCAGCCAATACCTAAATGTTTAGATTCAAAATAAATTCAACCTATAACCATAGAATTAAACAAATAAATGAATTTAATTTATGCAAATATTTTGTGTCAGTATTTCTTTAACTTATATTTACAATATTTCTCGCTCGACGTAACTGCTAACAACGGAGGGTAAGATCTTAGGTTGGTGGATGTTGTTCTAAAATCGTCCCGACACAGCCTGTCACACATAGGCACCAAATTCTCTAAAGCGTTCGTATAATCCTCAATGCGTTTGAAATGCTATCATAGTGTTTAAAGGCAAGTGAGTTGAGCTGTACGACGCTTTTAGCAATATCCCAGCAACATCATGTCGGGGACACCAGAAATGGGCTTCACACATTGAACCCATGTGGGGAATCGAACCCGGGTCTTCAGCGTGACGAGCGAACGCTTTAACCACTAGGCTACCCCACCGACACCAAACGCTGAGGCAGCTCCTACAGTGTCGTCTTTAACGAACGTGTCAGTCACTGGGGTTGACTGTTTTTTACAATGACTGACTTAGTCAATAAAAGGTTTGAACACCCAACATGTTACGGTGATCCGATGCACGTGATGCGGGGGGTTGGGGTTGGGGTGTATAAAGAGATATCATAATCAAGTTGCCAAACATCATATGGTATTGTTTCTTAAATAATATAACGTGGTATCTATCTCTGTGCCAATATTGAATATTATATATGTAACCGAAATTATATAAAAACCTTGAAGAGATGTACAGACAAGAATGGACAAATATATTTACATCTGGCATTAGATGTAACTGGGAAATTTTAAGATAAGCCTTAAGGCAGGGAACTATTTAGTAGATTCGACCTTGTGTACATTACTTACCGACTTCGCTCGTGTTTCAGATGGATGTACAAGGCTAAATACCGGGAGACATACAAAAGTTGTAAAATCTGGAAGACCATGTATATTTTGCAAGTTAAACAATATCGTACCATTTCACCCTTATATGTCCATACGAAAGCAAAACATACCAAATAAACATATATTTAAACCTTCAGTTCAAAATGTTATTTGCCATTTTGCAACCACAAATAGTCAAGATTTAATAAATGTTGTGTTATGTTTGAAATACATGTATGCCTTAAAGAGCAGAACTAAACCGAATTGAAACAATGAAATGTGAATCTATTATTACAATCTTCTTGTACTCTGTTGTATGCGTTTCACGTGTATGGGCCTTTCTTGCAAAAACATTTGATTCAATACAAAAAATGAAAAATGTCCTTGACAAATCAAAACAAACAAAACGTACAGTGTAAACTATTATTTTGCCTTGTTTGAATGTGAGTGAGTGGGTTTGGTTTTACGCCGCTTTCAGCAATATTCCAGCAATATCACGGCGGGGGGACACCAGAAATGGGCTTAACACATTGTACCCACGTGGGGAATCGAACCCGGGTGTTCGGCGTGACGAGCGAACGCCTTAACCATTAGGCTACCCACCGCCCTGTTTGAATGTGAACCTGAAAGAGTGTATATAACCTCCGTCACACAATACTCCGATACAATATCGCGTTTTGTACGCTGGTAGTAGAAGGAATTCGTAGGATCTGGATGGTGAGTTCGAGACAACAGGGAATTCGGAATATCCACGTTCGACATAACGAATTTCGACTTTATGTGATTGTAAGCAGCGAATCGAAGCTACAAAAAATACAGCAACTACATAATGAGACTTCGTGTTACGTCTCTCAGTTAACCTCTGTCACACAATACCCCGATACAATATCGCGTGTTGTACTCTAGTCGCTTTTATCAAAGGCAATCCAATTAAAAACGTATCCATTGATTGTAACGAACCAAGCGGCCTGTAGTTAAGCACATGTTTAATATTTCATGCCATGCGGTCGACTTTATCAGCTCACTGTAAACTGATAATCCTTCTCAGAGATTAACCGGGGCAATGTCACGTGACGAGTATACCTCCCTGTCGATTAGAACCGAGGATTACTGCAATAGGCATAACCTTCGCGAGGGTCACAAAGCGGATTTAAACCCAGCCTTGGATACAGGTAGAGGCCGGAGTGTCAGACATACAGACATACGGACAGACAGAGCCACAGTGGACGGACTGAGACGGTTGGCGAAGATGGAGACGATAGTGCAGAACGCGGACCCCACGCAGAAAGAGAAGATTGTTGAGTAAGTCTATGATCCTATCTCATAACGCACTGTTGGCGGGTTTTGTTGCCTCGTGGATCGGTGGTGTATAAGTGTCGAGTCAGCAGTTGGTGTTTTTAAATGACTCATATATGGACAGGAATAGGATGTGTTTTGTTGGTGAGTGAATGAGATCAATCATCTTACTGTGTTGTCATAGCGTTCGATATTGGGATAGAACTGGTATATTTCTGAGCTTCGTGATTACAACTTACATTGCAAAATGTACTCGGGCGGATCCAGGAGTTTGGAGAATAGAGTTTGTGTGTGTGTGTGTGTGTGTGTGTGTGTGCGCACGTGTGTGCGTGCGTGCGTGCGTGTGGTGGGTGGGTGGGCGTATCCTCTCTTGATCCGCCCCTGGCACTGTTGGTGAGATGGTGGGGTGTAGGGTGTCAGGGTTATAAGGACAGCTGATGTACTGTTGGTGAGATGGTGGGGTGTAGGTACAGCTGATGTACTGTTGGTGAGATGGTGGGGTGTAGGTACAGCTGATGTACTGTTGGTGAGATGGTGGGGTGTAGGTACAGCTGATGTACTGTTGGTGAGATGGTGGGGTGTAGGTACAGCTCTATGTACTGTTGGTGAGATGGTGGGGTGTAGGTACAGCTCTATGTACTGTTGGTGAGATGGTGGGGTGTAGGTACAGCTCTATGTACTGTTGGTGAGATGGTGGGGTGTAGGTACAGCTGATGTACTGTTGGTGAGATGGTGGGGTGTAGGTACAGCTGATGTACTGTGGTGAGATGGTGGGGTGTAGGTACAGCTCTATGTACTGTGGTGAGATGGTGGGGTGTAGGTACAGCTCTATGTACTGTGGTGAGATGGTGGGGTGTAGGTACAGCTCTATGTACTGTGGTGAGATGGCGGGGTGTAGGTACAGCTGATGAACTGTTGGTGAGATGGTGGGGTGTAGGTACAGCTCTATGTACTGTGGTGAGATGGCGGGGTGTAGGTACAGCTGATGAACTGTTGGTGAGATGGTGGGGTGTGGTGACAGCTCTATGTACTGTGGTGAGATGATGGTTGGTGAGATGGTGGGGTGTAGGTACAGCTCTATGTACTGTTGGTGAGATGGTGGGGTGTAGGTACAGCTGATTTCCTGTTGGTGACATGGCGGGGTGTAGGTACAGATGATGTACTGTTGGTGAGATGGCGGGGTGTAGGTACAGCTCTATGTACTGTGGTGACATGGCGGGGTGTAGGTACAGCTCTATGTACTGTGGTGAGATGGTGGGGTGTAGGTACAACTGATGTACTGCTGGTGAGATGGCGGGGTGTAGGTACAGCTCTATGTACTGTGGTGAGATGGTGGGGTGTAGGTACAGCTGATGTACTGTTGGTGAGATGGTGGGGTGTAGGTACAGCTGATGAACTGTTGGTGAGATGGCGGGGTGTAGGTACAACTCTATGTACTGTGGTGAGATGGCAGGGTGTAGGTACAGCTCTATGTACTGTGGTGAGATGGCAGGGTGTAGGTACAGCTAGGTGCCAGGTTGATAAGGATAGCTGATTTATTGAGGGCGAAATGGCCTGATGGTCAGACAGATGGGGCTTGGACGTTGGGCGTTGGACTTTGGTACAACTGGACCTCAAAATATTACATAACTAATAAGAATTTAGAAACAACAGATTTCGGGGATGTAAATGTAAGGTCAACATTCGCAACCAGGGCATTTTGTATCATACTCAGCAATCTATATATCGATTAGGTTGTTTCCATAGCAGGAGCCTTGTTCCCTTGCTCGAAGACGGGCGTAGACAAGCAGGAAACACAGCACCGTGAGCACAGACTGGCAAACGTTCACCAGCTCAGATAATGTTAAGACAAACATTGACATTGTCTCTTTTACATAATGGCATTGCTTAGACTCGTATTTACCTGAGTAAATATGCGTGAATTCAACATACTGCAGTTAACTACATGTGTAACGAACAAGCATATAACGAAGTGACGGATAAAACGAACTTGGTTTTGTATATACTGCTGTATATTTTAGCCGAAATGCTTATAATAACTGACGGATAAAACGATCATGGTTTTGTATATACTGCTGTATATTTTAGTCGAAATATTTATAACGAACTGACGGATAAGACGAACTTGGTTTTGTATATACTGATGTATATTTTAGTCGAAATGCTTATAACGAACTGACGGATAAGACGAACTTGGTTTTGTATATACTGATGTATATTTTAGTCGAAATGCTTATAACGAACTGACGGATAAGACGAACTTGGTTTTGTATATACTGATGTATATTTTAGTCGAAATATTTATAACGAACTGACGGATAAAACGAACTTGGTTTTGTATATACTGATGTATATTTTAGTCGAAATGCTTATAACGAACTGACGGATAAGACGAATTTGGTTTTGTATATACTGATGTATATTTTAGTCGAAATGCTTATAACGAACTGACGGATAAGACGAACTTGGTTTTGTATATACTGATGTATATTTTAGTCGAAATATTTATAACGAACTGACGGATAAAACGAACCTGGTTTTGTATATACTGATGTATATTTTAGTCGAAATATTTATAACGAACTGACGGATAAGACGAATTTGGTTTTGTATATACTGATGTATATTTTAGTCGAAATGCTTATAACGAACTGACGGATAAGACGAATTTGGTTTTGTATATACTGATGTATATTTTAGTCGAAATGCTTATAACGAACTGACGGATAAGACGAACTTGGTTTTGTATATACTGATGTATATTTTAGTCGAAATATTTATAACGAACTGACGGATAAGACGAACTTGGTTTTGTATATACTGATGTATATTTTAGTCGAAATGCTTATAACGAACTGACGGATAAGACGAATTTGGTTTTGTATATACTGATGTATATTTTAGTCGAAATGCTTATAACGAACTGACGGATAAGACGAACTTGGTTTTGTATATACTGATGTATATTTTAGTCGAAATATTTATAACGAACTGACGGATAAAACGAACCTGGTTTTGTATATACTGATGTATATTTTAGTCGAAATATTTATAACGAACTGACGGATAAGACGAACTTGGTTTTGTATATACTGATGTATATTTTAGTCGAAATGCTTATTACGAAGTGACGGATAAAACGAATTTGGTTATATATATATTGATGTATATTTTAGTTGAAATGCTTATAACGAACTACCGAACAAATGTTATAACGCACCTGTGGCCCCATTGAGTTCATAATGACCGTACTTTATTGTAACTGTTTGTACCTTTAAAGAAGGTTTTTGTTTTATAAATCCACCGAATGATATTATGTGTACTACAGTGTCGACCTAATTGCACATTTGTCCCAACAGTTGAGTGAGTGGATGGGTGAGTGAGTGAGTGGACGAGTGTGGTTTTTACGCCGCTTTTAGCAATATTCCAGGAATATCATCAGAAATTGGCTTCACACATTGTACCCATGTGGGGAATCGAACCCGGGTCGTCGGCGTCGGCAAACGCTTCAACTACAAGGCTACCCTATTGCCATTTGTCCATGTATACTGAATGTCGACGTGACATTATCACCCCATTCATTTAGGGTGATGCTTAAGTGATGTGTTTGTCGGCCTCTGTGATGTAGTGGGTAATTGTACCGCTTCGTGTCTGCTGATGTCTGGATACGGGGACAGTTGATATATCCAGTATGTAATACATGTTGTAGTCGACGAAATAAAACTGATTTTCTCAGTGTATGTCATTGTATTCCACATTGGTAAGTGTGTGTGTTCTCGATGATACGTGGGGCGATGGGGTAGCCTAATGGTTAAAGCGTTGGCTCGTCACGCCGAAAACCCGGGTTCGAATCCCTACATGGGCACAATGTGTGAAGCCCATTTCTGGTGTCCCCCGCCGTGATGTTGCTGGAATATTGCTAACAGCGGCGTAAAACCAAACTCAGTCAGTCAGTCAGCCGATGATACGTTGGTGGTGTCGAGACTATTAATATCATTTATAGCTGTAATTTTGGAGATATTAACAGAAAACCACTCACGCGCTCACGCACGCACACACTCACATCTTCATCCCCTTCATCCAAGCATCGTATGAGCAGACACTTGTGCTTTACATTCAGATGCCTGCTCATAATATACCCCAGAAATAGGCCTCACACGGGAATCGAACCCAAACCTGGTTAACGCTGTAACCGCTTGGCTACCTCGTCAGTGAATCTTTATTCACACAAAGTTACCGCCAATGGCAGTACATGAGTTACATAAAACACCATAATATTTACAACAAGATGACAATCGTCAACCGATCTCGTCTCGGATATTGTATGAAAGAAACATGTTGATATGAAACACTGTCTGGCTGGATGCCAAACAATGCATAGCAGTGCAGGCTGCACCATCAATTATTCATGCCTGGAGTATTTGTGAAATCATGACATGTCTTGTTTGTTTCTCTGTTGCAGGTCAGTTCGGCCTGTTATACATGACTTCAACCACCAAGACAGTATGTTTGCTGTGAGTTTACGGTCTAATAATTTCACAACAGGATGGGATTCTAAAGGGGGACGCTATCGTCATGTCGTGCACTTTAACGTCTTTTTAGTTCAGTTATAGATGAGACGACAATATGCTGCCATGCAAAATGTCGCGTTGTTGCATTGTCACGGTTGAAGAGGTAAACAGCAAACTCATTGTTATAAAGGCGGCTATGCACCAACGTGACTATTGTCAAAATAGTAACTTGCTCGGTAAGGTAAGAGCGACAAGGTTATTACGTCCCTTTCTGGCTTGTGTGTTGTTAACGTCGCTGGTGACTAAGGGTGGGTATTGCAGAGAATTTTCATATTGCGATATATTGCGATGCAAAAGCGTATATTGCGATATGTATTGCAATATATTGCAAAAAGGGTTTTTTCAACAAAAAACTACGTATAATCGAGTTAATGCTTGATTTATAAAGCAACAAAAACACAACAAAATCACTTTGCTTGATTAAGATTTAATAAAAACTTGTAATCATGACAAAAAACAAATGTAAATAATATTTGGCACAAATAAAAAAAGAAAAGGAACAACTTAAAAAACGGAAATATCCGAAGATTTCCTAGTGTTACGAAGTTTTCCGAATACATGTCTAAATACCGGTTTTCATATCGTTTTCATGTCTGAACCTGTAAATACCGGTAAACCGGTTATATTGCGCAGCACTACTGATGACCCTGTTGTAGTTATATCACCGTCATCTGTAAATAATTGAGTCTGCACCAGACAATCCAGTGATTGACATCATGGTCAACGATCTACACAACTGGCATCAAACGTGGTTGCGAATCTGACCTGTCCATGCCATTTGCTGAAGTTCTAATCTGGATGGGGTTAGAGAGTTCCTTTTCTGTTCTCCAGCACTTCATCGGGCATCACACACTAAGCCTATTAAGGTTTCGAGAAATATTATTAAGAATTGACTACGTCTTACACTCATCGTGATACAACGGGATTTAGAGACTTAATAAAGTGAGAATGGTTTTACGCCGCTTTTAGCAATATCAGGACGGGGGACATCAGAAATGGGCTCCACACATTGTACCCATGTGGGGAATCGAACCCGGGTATTCGGCGTGACGAGCGAACGCTTTAACCACTAGGCTACCCCACCGCCCGATATCTTTATAGTAAGAGGGCCAAACAGTAGGTCGAAAGGTCCAGCAACATTGCGATGGTGATTACTATTATTGTTATTAATATTGTTATATAACAATAACGAACTTCACATGACCACAATAACTTTTGTCTTTGAGCAAATATATCGTTCATCATACAGATCTGTAAGTGTAAGGCGAGGTACCTTTCACGATTTAAAAAGATCATTGTCCTTTAGTGACCATATCTTTTCAACACAATGGAAACTAAAGGAGTCATTTATTGCCCGTGAAACACCACAACGATCTATCGTATCAAGCTGTATAAAGTAATCTCAAAGTATGAAGGTGACTCCAAATGTATTGATATATTTGACCTACTGTCAGTCTTACTGACTTTGCGACTGATTAAAGGTTATTTTTGAGCCTGTATATAACGCTTGCGTTACGTACCTACTGTTGCAGCATCTCTGTGGAATCTTCAGTTTTCAGTTGTCATAATGAGTCAACCTCACCGCCTTCTTTGCAAATGTTAAATGAGGGGTTCGGTTGTGGGTAAAGGTTTCGCTCTCCACGATGAAGCCCTGGGTTCGAATCCCCACACGGGAAAAATATGTGATTTTTGCTATATTGCTAAAGGCGGCGTAAAACTCTATTCACTGTCTGTAAACATTACATGTAACTTCATAATCATACCATTATTTCAGAACTCCTTTCCGGCGAAATCCCACTTCATTGTACACCCCGAATGGATCTCGGAGGGTGTGAATCCTCCAGCCTCCAAGCCTCTGGATCGATCACCATGGTCATGGGAACAGCCTCGGTATAGGCAGAATGTACAGTACCCCACGACGTATGAAACCCCTGTCTATAACGAGGGGTCTAAGGCCCAGAACCACCCCGGGGTCACTGACGGCTACGGGGTGGGGTTCATGGGGGTGGAGGCGCTACCATCATATCCTCAGTTGACCGAACTGCAAAACGTCAAGCCCGAGTGTTTCAGAGCAAGCGGGGAAGAGACGACCGCCTTGACGCCGTACCAGCATCAGACCACGATGGAGGAGAGGGAGCGGTTGCAATGGCATCTGCATTACTGAGACGACATTACTCCTAGATTACTGTGGCATTTGCATTACTGAGACGACATTTACTCCTAGATTACTGTGGCAACTGCATTACTGAGACGGAACTACTAGATTTCTGTGGCATCTGCATTACTGAGACAAATTACTCCTAGATTACTGTGGCATCTGCATTACGGAGACAAATTCCTCCTAGATTACCGTGGCATCTCTGCATTGCAAGAAAAATTACTCCATTACTGTGGAATCTGCATTACTGAAACGAAATTCCTCCTAGATTACCGTGGCATCTCTGCATTGCAAGAAAAATTACTCCATTACTGTGGCATCTGCATTACTGAGACTAATTACTCCTAGATTACCGTGGCATCTGCATTACTGAGAAACATTACTCCTTGATTACTGTTGAATCTGCATTACTGAGACGAAATTACTCCTTCATTACTGTGGCATCTGCACTACTGAGACGAAATCACATTAATTACTGGAATCGAAATTGAGACGAAATTATTCTTAGATCACAAAATTTATTGTGGACGCCATCACACGTAATTGCTTTTTGTGTATTTAACCACCACTCTAGTGGTTTGACAGTTTGATAAAATATAACTTGTGACTGGAAAAGTTTGTGTAAAAATAAATTGGTTCCATGAAGAGTGGCGCAAGAAGTGAATTTACAACCATATGCCCCCTCATGTTTGAAATGTAAAGTTATAAGGATTTATTGCTTTTTAAGATAAGACGCCAAAAATACCAATCATAAGTTCTGCATTATGAGATTTTATTTTTACCTTTATAGAATCTTTAATCACAATATATTTATAAACATGAAAACAAGTAGAAGTATTTCTGTATTCTTTGGTAGTTTTTGTTTTTGTTCAACGTAAGATATTTTCAATTGAAAGTTTAACATATTATATAATCAACTGACATATATATTTTCTTTTGTCCCCTTGTGTAAAATACATAGGATATTTGAGAACGTACATTAACATTCAGTCTCTAAAATGAACATATTTTACAGAAAAAAAAGTTTCTAAGTCATCTTCATAAAAAAAAAATATTAAAAAGGAGCCCAGGGACTTTCTTCCTTTTCAGAAACTGCGGTAATCCACATATTCTTGCATGGGCTGTATTGGGTATATTTGTTTAAGGGTCTGTATATCAGACTACCGAGAACGCTGAGGTCATAGTTGTTGTATATGTCCCATATTTGAAGCACACACTAAAACATGTTTTTGTAGAGCATGCGAAGAACACACGAACCATTTATCGAGGCCTCTTAAATACGATTTGTGCATCTATGTTCCTGTCAGGTGGGCAACGGTGTCTAATTTAGGGCAGATTACCTGTAGACGAGTCTCGGCCCTGCGATGTGTTCTTATTTGCCAGTGAACTTCCCACCTGTGTGCTGACTAATGTTTTATTGTGTTGTGATGGGGTTTTTTCATTGTCGAAGAGATACAGCAAGGTGCCGACTTGTGACAGACACATTTGTTTTTATTTATGATCGATCAAACCATTCTCCTGGGAGATCTAGAAGGATGAGCGACAATAAACATGAAGAAATGCTGAGAAAGTTCTGAGAAGGAACATTAAACGAGTAGAATGAAACTTAGTTCATTCGGACCTCATTATACCGGACACCCTGCCTCAACGATGTTACTGTTGTGTTCGTGTACATATTAACGAAGAGTCAAAACTCCATAGCTTCTGTACATGATAGTAAAGGGACATAACTCCATAGGGTCTAAATATTAATAAAGGTACCAGTCCTGTCGCAATGTGGATTGAACCCAGGACCTTCCGCTCTCCCGGCAAACCCTTTAGCCACTGGTGGCGGGTCACGGCTTTGTTTTCCTGATTCCTTCACTATAGTACCGTGTGGAATGACCAACTCTCTTTCTGTACAGTACTGTACTGGATCTAGTTGTAGGCGCATCGATTATAAAAAAAATGACGTCGAGTGCCCTGTTGCTCATATACGATCTCCATATTAGTATTTATTACCTTGCAGTATTGGATATATACCATTAAATAAAATACTCTCAGCTGTTTCCATTGACTTGCTTTATCTTATCCTGTCGATAATGACCGCGGATAACATGTGACCATTCTCATGCAAATGACACAGCACCAGCTGACAACAATCTCGGCAATACTTCGTTGTCAGTCAATAATTGCATTTTTTAGGTGAATTGGAAAATATCTGCTTCTGGGTATAAAAAACACGCGATTAAGTTAATGTTTTTCATTGAACAGGAGAGGGGTGGGTGAGTGAGTGAATAGAGGAGTTTTTAAGAGAGTATGTGAATACGGATGTCTGTGTGTGTTAAAATGGGATTGAGTGTTTGAGAAGGGGAGTCTTTATGCGAGTAAGGGTGTCTGTGAGTAAATTTATTAAATTAATAAGTCTGTATGTGAATAAGCAAGTCTGGAAATGAACATGGAGATAAGTGAATAGGTAGATAAATGAGTCTGCATGTAAATAAGGGAGTGAATAAGGTAGTCTAGACGAACATGTGAATAAGGGAATGAGTATGTTATTGTGACATAGGGAGTGTGCATGAGCGTATAAATAAGGGGGGTCTGTGAATAGAGGAATCTATATATATCTATGTGAATGAGGGAGTCTGTATGAAAGTGTGAATAAGGATGTCTATGTGAGTGAACAGTGAATGAGGTAGTCTGTGTGAATACAATTGCACAGATCGATGCTCATGCTGTTGATCACTGGATTGTCTGGTCCAAACTCGATTATTTACAGACCGCTGCCATATAGCTGGAATATTGCAGCTGAGATCGGTGTCAAACTAAACTCACTCACTCACTGTGTGAATAAAGATTGTCTGTGTTGAAATAGGGAATCTGAAGATGCAGGTGCACAAGAGTCTGAAGAAAACAGACTTATGAAACTGGACTTGAAGATCAAACATGCAATGTGTAGTCAGTGTAACAACAGGGTAGCTGGGTGTGTGCAATCTTTATCTTAATGTATAGTGGTGGTCCGATTAATTGAAATAATCGAAGATTGGTCGTAGTGACTAAACGACCAATCCATCATAATTTCTCATAATCGAACACAACCAATTTTGGAACACTTGTTTTCATTAACAATATTTTTCACATGGTTGAATTTGTCTGTTACATTTTGTAATAACTACAAGTTCTTTTAAAGTCATGATTGAATTTATCTTAAAGGCTCCAAGGAATTTATGTTCCTAACATACTAGTCATCCTTTAAAGATGTTAATTTTTGCCAAAAAGCCCCAAAAGAACTACATGCTTTTTTCCTTATTTTTAGTGCATTAACAAATTTTATAAGTGATGCTAACCAATTATTTTTGATGATTGATCGGTTGTAATGAACCAATCATCAATTATGAGATTTTAACCAATTCCCAACACTATGTAGCTAACACTCAAAATACTTCTTACATGATTGGGGTGATGGTGGTTGATGGTTGAAGCGTTTGTTCATCAAGCTGAAGACCTGGGTTCTATTCTCTACACTGGCGTAATGTGGGAATGACATTTCTAATTAGCCCTGCAATAACATCGCTGGAATATTGCTATTTGCTGCATAAAACCATATTCACTTCATCTTGGATTACTGAGTTTGGTCAAGCCAAAACTAAGACAAAAAGCCAATATCACTTTCAAAATATATTTTTATTTCTTTCATCAATGTTATTACAACATGGATCCATATGTTACATATATATTCTTCATTCAACTTGACATAAGGCAAAGGGTTGTAATACAAATGAAGTAACATTGCAGATATCTCCTTTCTTTCACATACAAAACAGTTTAACAGTCAAACGTAACACAGTGTCTTGGTTAGTTTCGGTTGTGATATACAACATCTCCCCGTCACCACTAATATACAAGGGCTGATGTGCAAGAATAAAACCATTTGACATCCCATGGGTGAAGCATAGGACCAACAAGTTATCATGTGGAGAAATGGGAGGAGGAGGAGGAGAAAGAGATTGGGAGGTCAGCAAAATTATGAGTCTCTACAAGAGAGTAATACAATGAATGCATACATTTGGGGCCGGGCTTATACACAATGTACAGGGACATGGAGGTCCTCCAAAACATGACAAGGGAGGTAATAACCCCATACCTCTAACAAAAGACTGGTCCTTCACTACCTTTTTGCTTTTGTTCTGTCACAGTCTGGCTGTATCATGGAACTCCTTGGCAGTGACTTAGTTTCATACTGGAAGTCTAATTTGAGAACATGGGAAGAATCTTATCCTTTCAAACAGTCATTATTGACAATATTAATTGAAAAGTAACTATTACTGAGTTCAAATATAAACAAACGACATACTATCACTCAAAGTGAACGCACATTGTCACAAAAAACAACAATATTTCAATATGATTACACTGTATTATTACAGTATAGGAAAACATATTTCCAAGATCCAGGGCTGAAACGAAACACAGATGTCACAAAATGATATGCATGGTAATCTTATGTTGATGATATGATGTGTATCACATTACAATATTGTGGAGAAATTTACAAAATGTGTTATACTCAAATTACAACAGTTGAAAACACAACCAGATTAGTTTTCATAATGAAATATTGATCTAAAATATTAATGTTACTTTGATGTCCACATGTTAACATGTTCACACTGAATAACCAGTTACAAAACAATATATGACAAAATGTTAACCCACACGATCAGTACATTATTGTTGACATCTGGTTTGCGGGACTCGCATACACAAGGCCATCACAGTGCTACAATGATCATAAGAACCACACACTGATATAGACCATCGTAAAGCTAAGATCGCTTTGTGCAAGTGGGCCCATATAATTAATTATCAAAACAGTTTATAACTATACAGGAGTTTAGCTTTACGCTGCTTTTAGCAATATTCCAGCCACATCATGGCAGGGGACACCAGAATGGGCTTCACACACTGAGCATCCGGCCCGTTTCAGAAAGCCTAAGCGTAAAATCTCATAAATTTTCTCCTAGCATTCGTACTTCCTATACTGTAACATTGACTTACGATAGTCATAGCACTACGGGAGCTTTGTGAAACGGGGCCCAGATACTCTCATATTACTTTGGTTTATGCTAAAATTGATAAACTATTGTAATGTGATAGAATTGAGTCATTTAACTTCTTTTAAATAGAAAATATGGAATTTTTTAAATGCAAGTTTCTGACACTTCAACATGCATTTATGGATTATTCTAATGAGATTAATATTATGGGACACTGGTGAATCGTTCCAGCCTTAATAGGTCTTGTTGAATAATATCATACTAAAACATACCAAAGCAAAGTGGCAAATGATCTTTCCAAAACAAACAACACAGAGCATGAAGCTGCACAATATATACAGCATTAAACATATAATGTTTTTGGCACCTTAAGGCTTGAGTTGCATTGCAAATTGGGAAAAAGCAAAGAGACAGATCCAAGATCTGGAAAAGATTCACAAAATGAGACATGTTCTCTATCTCAGATTCATGAGAGATGAACTATTAGTGTTACTGAAAAATAAATTACATGGATCTTTAAAAATCAGGTTTTACAATACAATCAAATGTAATACTACCACAGTTTGTTATGTAATGTTTAAACGCATAGTATTGTCTTGAGTGAGTGAGTGAGTGAGTGAGTGAGTGAGTATGGTTTGTACCCTGCTTTTAGCAATATTCCTGCCATATCATCAGAAATAACACATTGTCACCGATACTAACCCTGTGGGAATCAAACTCAGGTCTTCGGCAACGAGTGAACGCTTTAACCACTAGGCTACCCCACCACCCTCCATTTTTGTCTTGAGACCAATAGAAGTTCTTCACAACTAGGTAATCCATTATTATGGTGTCATGTTTAAAAAGTGGGTAATCAAACATCACTTCAACATAGAAGACTGGTCCATTGTAACACTTTACATCAACAAATGACCGCCTCCTTGGTGTAGTGGTTAGAGTGTCCGCCCGGAGAGACCGGAAGGTGGGGCGGTGGGGTAGCCTAGTGGTTAAAGCGCTTAGCCTCGCCGGTTCGAATCCCACATGGGTTCAATGAACCCACATGGTGTACAATGTGTGATTTTGCTGGAATATTGCTAAAAGCGGCGTAAAACCAAACTCAGTCAGTCAGTCTTCAATTATCAGGAAGTCAGGGATATATCTTGAGTCCTGTATTTGAGGGTCCCTTGGACTCATACTCTTACTTTACAGGGGTTATGGGCAACAAAATGGGGGTCCCAAACACTTAAATACTATTATCAATACTGTTATTGCATTGTGTATCATGATCATCACTTAAATTGTTACAGTAATCAAATTGCAAATGATACCATAACTCAGCTAGTAGCAAACTCAGTGATAACTTATTGTCACTTAATTGGAATTTTTACAAAAAGTATTTGGACTTTTTCTGCGCTTATAAATTTTGTTGCGTCCATTGTCAATTTTTATGTGTATAGGACGCAGAAATTCACGTCCCGTAAATCCCTGGGAAGTTACTGACTGATAACGGGAGTCTAGCAGTAAGTATATTACATATTTCTTTTCTCATCTACAGCAGAATGAAGGCCAATTTTGTAAGGAAGGTACTATGTCACACGATTAACAACAGTGGAATCAGGGAGATATGACGAACTGCAATGTGGACTGTTACCATGGTGACACACAAATGTATAGAATCTTCAGCGACAATGAAATCACACACCGCTACCACCACTTGTCTTCCGCCACTCAAACCATATACACTATACATATGACTATTGTCATCCAACCAAGGAAACCAAGCTATTGTCTTTAATAAAACAAACATTTCTACAGTATATCCAGCACCATTGTATAAATATGTCAATAAGAAGACATCACATACCTACTTCCAGGATTCATCAAGACCTGTTCAGATTCTGAAATCTGGCCCCATATCCAAATTCATGTCATAACCAAGACTAAACTTATGGCTTTGTACAGTAACCTGTTCACTGATAACTGGGCCAGGAAAGAAGAAGAGGTTAAATGCGGAATCATATTGCACAGAGTGCAATCTCAAATACAATGTCAAATACCTCTGAATTTCAGAAAAATGCCTCTGAATTCCAGCATGTTCAGAAAAAGTGTTTCAAACATTGAACATTTTAACACAATAACAATTAAGTTCGATTCCTAAATAAATCCTTGTAATTATTTAAGATACATAATTTAGGAAAAGTGAAGATGTTGATAATGAAAGTGACAAGTAATGAAATATATGTATCTCATTCCTTGTTCTAATGACTAAGCTTGAAATACATCTGAAAGTTGATGGGGTTGCTGATTGTTTCAATACTGGGACACAGACATATTCCTATATAAAATATGCCCTGAAGATATATTGCTATGAGCTAATATGTATCAAATATGGAAGAAACTGTGGATATATATACCTTTGCCATTTGTCTCATCCTCCTTTTATGACATATCTCTCAACCCAATACTACAAATTGAAATTTAAAGGCCTTCAAAGAATCTCCCACAGAAAGAAAGAACAATCCATTCCTTTTTAAGTACATGTAACTCACAAACATTGTCACAATTTAGTGACCTACCCTGCCCAGTTCTCCCACTGTTACTTCCTAAACACATAGAAACTTGTATGAAAAGGGAAATTTATTACTGACAGGGAAACATTCTCTAACTATTTTCTAAATTAATCCGTTCATACATTAAAATAATCCTACCCAACTAAACCATTTCCATTACACATTTTTTGCACATTTGAAAAAGACCATTTACTGATTTGATTCTGAAAGCTGAAAGTTGGTGGGTTAGAGTATATAAAGCAAACTTTGACCAGGTAGAAAATACCTGTCAGGTAAACAATGGTAAAGGAATTTTAGTGTAGTCATTTCTACATAGACAAATCGGAAAGCTTTCAAGCTTGTCAAATATACTGTGAAATATGAAAGGCACAAAAAAATGGCACGACTATTGCTATGCAGTTACATAACAAACAAACAAATTGCAAATAATTAAACTTCAATATGATAAGTAATAGTCTACTTTCGATAAACTATAAGTGATAAAAAAATAAAATCACTTCCCCAAAATTGTATTTCAGAATAAAATCATGTGATGCTACGAGACTGGCATTAATGACTAGAAAGGTGGATGGCATTACAAACATAACAACCTTTAAACAATAACTCTTTTAACAACCTTCAAATGTCTCTCACAATTTGTGCATTGTAACAATATTTTATTTAGATGAACAATAAGATTAAGTCAACTGACACTTCAGGAGAAGCAGATTTGGTGTTACCATAGCTGGTTATTTGAGATACCCAGAAATGGAAGAGTAAACTCACTCTCATTAAAATCTAATCTTCCAAACACTCTGATACGATACTACCTGCTGTTAGTGCTTAGGACACCTCTAAGGACTGCTGTGTCAGGTAAACACTAGAGTGAACTTTCACAGATGCATAGGTTTTTGAGCCAATCAAATATCAGCTTTCTAAAACAGTTCCTCTTTATTCAGAAATTGTGATTTCTCGGTTGTAAAATTTAAAAGCTTGAACCCTCATTGGCTGATTAGAAAATTCATCTGATGTGACCTTATTTATATAAACACCTTTATTGCATTTTTTTCGAGAGGTATCGTATTCGTATCAGTGTAAAAGGTCTGATTTTAAATGAGATACCTACTACTTAAGACACTGATAACTTCTTGAACAGTCTCTTCAAAATAGGTTGGGGAAACTAAACACCAGCTGATTCATTAACATAAGTATAGACAATCTGTTATGCCATGACAGATTAGGTGCAACAACATGGGGTGAGTGAGTTTAGTTTTACGCCACTCTCAGCAATATTTCAGCTGTATGGCGGTCAACAACATGGAAGAATCAGGTGGTTCTTAACTTCTTAGAATAGCATGTGTAGTATGGCACTCATCATTACGTATGCTGTGCTTCACCAGCCAGATTAATCTCTGGGCTTATTCATGTGATCAGGCCCTGATTTCTCTAAACAAACTTAAGTCTGAATTTCGAGTTTTACTCAAATTTGAAAAAAATGCATTTCCCATAATGAACTAAAATCGATATTAAACTCAAACATAGTAGACAATTTGAGTTTGGTGGATAGATTACTTAAGTTGTTTGGGTTTTTATTTAAAAAATGCAGTTGAGTTAAAAATTCAGCTGTTTCAAATTGTCCAACTCAGTTTGAAACTTGAGTAAAAACTTAAGTTTGTTTCGAGAAATCAGGGCCAGGCTTATGAGCAGTGATATAACATATTTGCTACTTACAATAATACAAAATCTCTTAAAAACTAAATATACTGCAGGTCAAAAGTTCAGCAACCATGATCTACACAATTAACTGCATGATTCGTGAAAGCAAAGTTTAGTGTTGCAGAGTTAGATATTTGGGTAATTAAAAACAAACTACAGCAGAATGGAAACAACTATAAACCTACTAAAACTCAAGAAGCATCCCCAAAAATATCTTGATTCCATAAACCAAGGTAACATACTTCTTGAATTTTGATAAGGGTAGGGAGTATTAAGGTGTGGTCTGAATGTAACTGACAGCTTGGATATGTTATCTTACTAATAGTATTTGATAGTATACTATGGAACAGAAATGTGCAGCTTATATTTTGGGTTTATTGAACATAAAGACACAGTAAAAGAAGTTCTTACGTCGCATTGAGTCACTCTATGAAATATCTCAGTATCTCTATCAAAATACTGAACAGTATATACCTATATTAATACTGCTGGAACAAGTTCGATGTAAAATCACAGATAACTCCAGCACTACATCAGACTAAAGGGAGGACATTATTCTACTTACACCCATAATTTGTTAAACATTAACACTGCGACTGCCTATCACGAGCATACACTTAGTATCAATTCTGGCTGAATTTGCGACTACGAGTTACTAATATCTCGTAGCCACATCAGTGGTATTCTAAAACAATTTCACATGTTGGCAAAATAGGCACAAGAAACAAACATAACAAAGAACGCCAGGAGACGATTGCTTCTTGTGCTGTTTTGCCAACATGTGAAACTTGTTTTAAAATACCAAATGGGGTCACATTGATACTAAGAGTATACTCGTGGTGGCAGTCAACATGTTAAGGACTACAGCTGTTTTCTACCACTGCTTGGTGGGAACATTGCAGTTTAACTATAACAACTATTCTAATTCTCTCGTTCAATACAAACCTAGGAAAACGATTACTTTTGTCCAACCGGCAGACAAATGTTCAAGACAGACCTTCAGAATTTCTCACCAAGAAAATGAAACGGTGGGTGAGTTAGGTTTAACACCACTTTCAACAGAATTCCAGTTATATCATGACGAGTCAGTTGGATGAGGGAGGAAAGCCAAAACAGATGCTAGTCTCAGCTGTTAACCCTTGGTTGAAACCTACAGGCACAGGTGTGGCGTGGACTAGCTTTGACAAATAAACAGGATCTATTTTTCACAATTGCGTATTTCTGTAGATCCACTCCCGCAACTGCTACACCCCAAATTAAATTTAAACTTGTGTGCGAATGTTTACTTTTGCTCAAGAACTCTGAGTACTTGCAGTCTTAAAAAATCTGCATGAAATCAGTTGGACTTTGTCATAACTAATGTTAAAAGTTAAAGTTACTGGGGTGCTGAGATTCAAATACGACCATAGACGACCTGAAAGACCACAGGTACACTCATTTACAAATACTGAGTCGGCAGTACTAACAGAAGAAGTCCAGTCTGATCGTAAGCAAACATCATAATATGATGTAGGCTCATGGAAACACACAACATTGATCTTTGAACACATTCAGTATGAATAACCTTATTTATATACTACATCATTGATCTGTTATATGTACTTTGTCTTGCCTTATGGGACCAAGCACAACTTCATTTGGCTATGATATCATCAAAACTGAATGTTCAACAACATACATGTTCTCAGCATGTTCAGTGGAATTACTGGTTACTGCAAATGATTTCTTATGTGAAAGACATGCTTAATGACACCTTTTCTATATATTCTGCAGGTATGGAGGGTATGCCAACATTTGTGAATATGGACGGTTATCAAATCAGCTTTTAACACTTAAAAAGGGGAGTAAGACTTAACTCCAAAATGTTGTCCTTAGCAAATAAGGAAGCTGATATCCCAAAACATCTTTGACTCAGCTATTAACAAGGCCACATGTCTTTTTTCTCTTAGAGAGAGGTCTTCTATCATTGAAGGGAACAACACTGATCTACCAAAACAATTTGATTTCAGTGATTTGTCACAAACAACAGCTCTGATATCATACAGAATGAAATGAGTCTTAATTCTCTTTATCTATCTGAAGAGACCAAACGCTGGAACCCTGTCACGAAACAATGTGTCAATAAACAATGAGGCATTTATAATAAAATGGATGGATATATATGCAAGGCTTGGGGGTTGCATTAATCAGCATGAAATTCAAAAGCCTGCTCAAATGCAAAAAAATCATAAATGTATAACATGTGTACAATCAAAACATCATGGCAATAACTGATAAAACAAAAGGCTTCTGCTTCAATACGTCACTCGTTCTTGTCCTTCTTCTTCACGAAGGGGATGGGTGGTCTGGGGACTTTACTGGCAACTGTAGATCCCACGTCGTACGTCTTGCCTGCAACCCACTTGACGCCTCCATAGCCGTAGCCTACAGCACCTGACGCTGTGCTGTATATGCCGCTCGACATGCGCCATAACAAACCTGGCTGCTTCCCCGGGTCTGAAATACGGAAAACTGTGTGTGAAATTTACGCTGGTCCTGTGGTCCCTGGCTAGTAAAAAATCATCAGGACCATTAAATGATAAGTTTGCAGTGGTCCTGGTGGCCAGTGAATTTTGTGTTGATAGTTAAGTAAATCCCTATGAATGTTATTTTGGACCAGTGAAGTACAGACAGGACCAGTGAGGTACAGACAGGACCAGTGAGGTACAAGTGAGGTACAGACAGGACCAGTGAGGTACAGACAGGACCAGTGTCACACTAATTATTGTCCACTCACTGGTCCTCTGGTCTACTGGGAAATTTTGAAAGGTTTCTTTCCATGGGAAAACTGGTTTAGGTATTATCTCTAATGCTGGTTATCACTCACAATATGCAGATCGTTAATCGAGGATGGTAATCAATCAATAATTGATTGTAATCGTAAACTCCGACACAAAACTCATGGGCAATAACAGGACAATCATAAGATTATCCAATCGAAACAGGCACCGATTAATACTACCATCAAGACGATCGAGGATACTTCCTGTCGAGACACACATGTGAGTATGTTGTTTACATTGCAGTTTTGCAAGTCAGAAAACAGCATCAGTTGTTTGTCTTGATTGAACAAACATAACAATAACAAACAAAATTTCTAAAGTTTAATCTGATGTTTAGTTTTCTATGAATACTGATTAGTTTCCCAAGCTCATCGATAATTCATCGAGATTGAATTGTCGCTCAATCTCTTCAGGTCTAATTATTTCACCAGGGATTTACAGGGGCGCTGATTCCTATGCTACCGCAGATAATGGACAATTGACCAGTTCCAATCGTTGACAATAACTTATCACTGAGTTGGCTCAATCTCTGATGATCATGATACACAAATACAAGGTCTAATTCTTTCACCAGGACCCTGATAATATTTTCAAATGCAAGAGTGCCACAATTGGTGTGTGTGAGTAATTACATGCATGACAGAGATGCCAACCCTGAATCTAATGCAAGTGGAGTCATGCCTGGCTGGAAGTCAGGCCCGAGCACAGAAGCTGTGAGTTGGGGGTGAACATGTGGTCGGTTCCGCCATTTTGATTCACTTACATACCAGCTATGACATACATTTGGAAAAACTTGGTGCAACTTCGTCGTCAATAATACCCAATATACACAATCGATACCCAAATGATCACACACTAAGCTTCTGAAAGCTTTTACCAGAGTTTTTTAAAGACAAATTGGACAGCAGATTCTGTATTTAAAAATCGGAGTAACTCCGCCAAAATCGGACTGGTTGGCAGTCTCCAGGCCAGTCCAATGTAATAACTTAGTTTCACAGATCTTCATTCAAAATAAACCAGAAAAATGAACACTTTAAGAACACTTAAGCAGGGCTCCAGATAATTTTTCAACATCAGGAGTACGTACTCCTTATTTGTTCAATATTGAGTACTGGAAAACCTTAAGTGTACATTTAGAGTACTGAATGGAAGCTAATGGACTATCAGTAATCTTGTGTTTCGTTTCATATATGCACCACAACATTGCTACTCTTGTGTAAACAGGTCAATAAACAATAAAACAATACTTTTTCAGATAAATACATCTGTAAGTGATTCTAAGACCGTACACCACTGCTGTGGTGCGTATCTGCTACGTTTTCTAAATTATTTCCTACTGTATCGTGCATAGTTTTTATCCGTACATACGCCGATATGGCCCTTATCTGGAGCCCTGACGTAAGGACATTTAAGGAGATATTTATAATATGATGGCAGTCTGTAAATAATCGTGTCTGGGCCAGATAGTCTCGTAATTGACATGGAAAACTTTGATCTATACAATTGGGATACAATGACATACATGAGTCATACAGAGTCAATGTAACCCTATCCCGTTAATGACCTCTTCTGACAAGTATGAGTTGCTTACATCAATTCTTGCATCTTCACGAAGATATGATTATAAATTAGTTTATATATACTGACAGGGATATAACTGGCCTGCTGTTAACTGGTATAACATACCTGTCACTTCATCAGTTTTCTTATTGGAGGAGTATTCTGGGGCGTCAGTTTCCTTGATGTCATCAGCGTTGGTTATCACTTCAACCTGCTCTGAACCTGGGCCCTGGAACCAGAAAACAAACAGAAAATACATTAATATTCTGATTCAGTAGCATGGCTTCCTTTCAAACATATGAATAAATTAAGCTTTATTGTACTGCAGGGTTTGAACTGTTACTTACAAACAGACTGTGAAAATTTACATCGTAGTGTGAACTGAAGCGTAACACCCATCCCTACCTTTCACATTCAGAACTTTGAAAGGGATTTTGTAATGATTTTGCACTGTAAATCACTATAATTTTTCCCTTCAATGAAATTGAAATCAGGTAATGAACAAGCGACAACAAACTTGGTCAATAAAGATAAAGATAAAGCATTACTAGACATGATTATGTACAGTTTAAACTGTATTTACCCACCTGCTAGGTATTGTTTTGTACTTTTTATCATCAGATGGTGTAATGACAGGATTATATTGCGTACTTCAGTATTAATTTGCTGACTTGGTATTTGATGCGTTGCATGCTCATGCTAATGTCTTTGTGTGGGAAAAACATCCAAAAGCATTGTTGGAAGGTATCATGTGCATGTCCTTATACAAAACTGTGGCTAATTAAAAATATTCTGTCATCCCTCGACATAACGTGGGTCTTGGGATCCATGGATAACCCTCTGGTGGGTTTAACGACATCACCGTTATACAGAATATGAAATAATTTATGGGGGACCGTTCATAATTTATGGCTGGGGGTTGGTGGAAGGGATGATGATTTTAAGGGGGTCCACCCATTTTGTTCTGGGGAGCTGGGGGGGTCATCAATTTTATACACCGCGTACTAGGTGGGGTCAGCAAGTTTGTACATAAAAATATGTTTAAAATTATGCTTAGAAATTATGGGAAGGGGAGGGGGGTCATTGATTTTGTACATGACATGCAGGGGGGTCACTTATTTTGTACATCAATTTTAGTGGGGGTCATTCACATTGTACATGCTTCTCCATAAAAATCATCATCACCCCCCTAGTCATAAATTATGAACGGTCCCTAAAGGCCAAGTAATATCATATTTTTCTTGTGTATTTTACTGGTATGTCAAATGAAACAAAAATTAGCATGATAAGGATTCAGATTCATGCCTTCAGCCTGGACAATAGCCACTGTTCCAGTGAGATTAGTAAAACTGAACACTCAGTGATTATCCAGTGTTTTCTCTCCCTTCTATGACCGTACATATATTAACATGAAGATTTTCTGAAAATGAGGTGAGGTGAAATTGGGTTTAACGTCGAGCTGGAGAATATTTCGCTCATATGACGACATGCATGCGTGTGTATGTGTTGGTGCACCTGCTTGTACTAGCCAAGACTTAAGCTGGTTTTAGAGTGCTAGCCCACTGAGATACCATGCCGCAGTGAAGCATGAATATCCCACTCAGACAAATTATACTGACTCCGAGCCGACCAGTCCTTGTTGTACCCATTAATGCCGAGCGCCAGACAGGGACCAACAAGTACCATATTTTAATGTCTTTTTGGTATGATGCGTCGGGGATCGAACCCGCGACCTTCCGCTCTCCGGGCGGACGCTCTAACCACTACACCACGGAGACGGTTTCTGAAAATGATGCTCAGATGCTAAGTATACTTCTTACTGTTGTATAGACTGAAAAGATTCTTACCTCATGTATAAAAAAGGTTATTTTCTAGACTCCTAGTACACCTTTTCAAATCAAAATAACATGATGCTCATTTTCCCTATCTGTCCCAATATCAAATACATCAGTCTGCAACCTTGACCATTAGTTTGATGCCAGAGCTATAATCCCACAAAGTTATCATAGTGCTACAACAGTCATAAGTCTATGTTAAAGTAAGGGAGTTACGATCACCTTAGTGCTAACGATTGCTTTGTCAATGGGCACTTGTTCATCTAGTAAGCTCAACTATTACTGGTTCATATAATATGGCTAACATCAACTAAACATGATGCTAAGAGGCAAGTTTGGACTAAAATAGTCTAAATTCATGCACTAAAATTGTCTAATAATGATGCTAATAGCATCAAAAGGTTGTGCCAAAAATGTATACTGACCAGCAATAAAAACGCAACTCAGAATTCAAGAAAATCATACTTTTTCAGCATGAATTCAGATTTGATACTTTAACACAATTGTTTTAATTTCTTGAATTGCGTTTCTTTTGCTGGTCAGTATATATCAGTATCATGGATATGATCATGATGATCACAGCTAATATGATATTCAAGATTTTCTAAGTTCTTCTCTCATGGACCTATCAGAGGCGAGTGAGGGTGTGAGTTTGGTTTGAAAAATTGTTCATGTTCGATTCTAGTGGCCGTGAATAAAGAATTGAATTTATGCATGGCTACAGTTCAATTCCCCAAATATTCGAGTGAATTGGAACAGCAAGCAATGACAAGGAAACCCTTTAACCAACACCCATGTATCTGCGGAGATGTTCTGCATCTTCCAGGCTTACACTGACCATGGTGACTGAATTCATTAGGGTAAAGTTCTTCACTTAGTACTGCGGAGTGCACAACAGTTGGAAGACCGTCCCACGTCCAAGTTACCTCTTTGACTGCTTACACTAACCACAGTGTTCACGAATGGTGTTTCAAAGTAACAGGACATTGGGTCCTGTAAGTTTCAGATGTCTGTCTGACCCATTGAAAATTCACAGGACCCATGGAATAAATTTAAACACACATTTCAGATCTAACATTTCTTATAATTGGCATTGAAATTATTAACAAACATAAGATTTATAAACAGCAACCAAGTGTGACATGTCACATATAACAACTTCAGTCAAAGTCACTGTGACATATGCAGTCAGACACTGGGGCCGGCAGGTTGTACACTTCTGTCGGACTGTTTGCGAATCTGCCAGATTTGTCAGAGGATCAGACGCTATTGGTGAACACTGTAACCATAGCCTGAAGTAAAATTAAGCCTTTGATCGTGAATAGAGAAACGGTTCAATATTTAGAAACATCAATAACACATGCGTAACAGATAATAATGCAAGATTGTGGCAACATCAATAAAAGTAAATTAGTTCTCAGTATTGATAGAGAATTCACATTGTGGAGGGATCCATGTAATCTCTTTGGTAGAGAGTCAAGTGGCATGGGCTCACAGAGTGTATGTCAGTTATTTATACGTGGAAATAAAACTGATGAAGTAGGACGAAACATGCACACCATAATCGGTCCTTGCCAAAATCATGAGTCTACTCGACTGAACCCATCCTTTCTCATATTTTTCTGAACTGTTCACATTATTCGCACATATGATGGGTTCTTTATTCGACGTATAGGACTTAAATACATTACCAGTCGACCCCTTCAACCTCTAGTATGAAGCCAGAATCTTGTAAAAATCTGTTCAGTTTGCTGTTTAGTAAGCTCGACTAACAATACCTTCTTTAAGTGGCATTTAGAAGCTGCTATGATGAGTGAGTGAGTGAGTTCAGTTTTTACGCCACTTTTAACCATATTCCAGCTATATCACGACGGGGGACACCAGAAAAGGGCTTCACCTATTGTACCCATGTGGGCAATCGAACCCGGGTCTTCGGCGTGACGAGCAAACGCTTTAACCACTAGGCTACCCCACTGCCCCTGGTATGATGAAGAGCCAACACTTTTTTATGGGTATACAACTTCTTTATTCAGAGCAACAGATAGTTTTTTGGGTCATTGAGTTATGTACTCGCTTGTGTTCATCTTAATTGGGTATCCAAATTTTTCTTTGAGTAACCAAATAAATTGTACCCACCTCACTCAAACGCAGTTGGGTATTTTGCCATTTTCCATTAACTGTAAAAATACATTATAGTTTAAATGTTGGTTAACGTGTTTGTTATTTATATTTGATCTGTTACATGAGAAACGATAAGAAAGACTGCAAGTTGCCAAGTCTAGGTGCTGAAATAGATACTCTCAATATACCTCAGTTATTTTATTTATGTTTGTTTGTACGTATGTAATATCAAATCTATTGAGTATTTACAAAAATTGAAGCATACTTGTAAGCAATAGACTTCATAGGAATTGAGTTTTCACATAAATATTTGCGTAATTTACGCAGATACGCAGCTTGTCTGTACTTCTGTTTATTGCAATAGATGCAACGTTTCGGTGTAGATCTGAACCCTGCATCAAGCAAATGATGCACAACATATGCAACAAGGAAAAATACATACATGACGGGTAATTAATTCTACACCGAAACGTAGCATCTATTGCAGTAAAGAAGCTGTCTATCCATAAAAAAGTGTTTCCTCTTCAACAAACAATAGTCAATATAATGAGACTAAACTGTACTGTAATGGTGCCTTGAGAAATGTTCGGGCAAGACGAGTAAAACGTTTTTGGTACAGACTGATTCTTGGACTTGAGTTTGGACTTATGGCCAGAGTTGCACGCTCTCTCTCAATGACAGGGTGCAATTGGCTCACAAAAGTATTGAAACATAAATCAAGTTCTATTTGAGTGAAACATTTATTTTGCCAAGGTAACATACTGGGCTGTTTAAAACAAACAGGAATTCAACAAGAATTGAAAGCTTTTGAAAATATAACAAGCTAACAAGATAGGTACACTCTTAGAGAATTCTAACACTGAAATGTTGGTCATAACAAGGGATAGCCACCTAAGCTGATAAAAACATGCACCTAGAAAGCAGTCATGGCCTTATTACCAAGCTTGGAAGTACATGTTTCCTTAACACTGAAACTGTGTTCTTGCTTAAGTACTGTCGAAAAAAACCTGTTACTCTGTATCCCTAAAATTTACACATTTGTAAATAGCATATGTCGAAATAACCCACATCGGCCTAACTGGGCATTCAGTGTGATGCGTAATAGGATAGCTAGAAAAGCATGCTTACTCGTAAAATCGGGCATAACTTAGAAAAAAATGCATATACTAGTAGCTGCTGAAAAGAATAGATCAGATTACAGATGTTAATTAGGTCGCTCAGCCAGGTATGATGACGGACAGTGTCATGTGTACTGAATATGTCTCATCTATTG